TTCTGAATGTGTGCACCTAACAGTTTGAAAGTCCCTGAATTTCCATGACTCCACAGGGGAAAACAAGAGGAAAGATGGAACTGGGAGTTGCCAATCAACAACACTACTGAGAGGATGCAGTGGAACCCTGAAATTATGGAGCCATTACCCGGAGGAGCTGTATGTGAGAACATAAATGTCTGAGTCAGTGGACCTAGACCTTAAGCAGACTTTACTCTGCCATCTCCCTAGTACAAAGTCTGTGTAATGTCTGAGTGAGCCCATGTGAGAATACAGTGGCGTATATTCCGGAGTATCCACACTCAGCTATGGAAATGTTGATGACTCTCTATCATGTGACTGGCGCAAAACCGGAAGAATACAAACATCCAGAGATGAAGAAAATCAGTAAATTACAATGACGATGCCAATGAAAGCATCCAGCTGGAGACAAGATGAGACAGTTCTGCAGTTACAAGCTGCCCCCCACCCCCCAAAATGAAATCAAATGGAGTATTTCCAGTAGGTGACAGTGCATCTGACACAGCATTCTTAAAAGGAGTCTTAGAACTCAACAACGTCATTTCCCCAAGCAACAGGACTCAACAAGGGAAGCCTAAGGACCAAAAACCCAGGGCAGAAAACTGCAATCCTCACCACCTGCCAGAAATCATTCTGTGCTTGAGTGCTAGAAACAGAAAAAGATGAGGTAGAGGTGGACTACAGAGGACAGCACAATTGGGAGCAACAAGTGACACAAGGGAGATTCAGATACAAGGCAAAACACAAACACAGAAAATATACACATCATAGTCCCTCATTGGAAATAAATGGTAGTAGAATAAGAAAAAACCTGATGCCCTAAACAAAGTGAACACAGAAAATAAAACTGAGTTTTCAAGAGACAGAAAAACCTGCAAATTCTAATGTACTTCAATGAAATGCTACTAAAAATAACTCACACAAACACACACCCTGACACAGACTGCAGAAACAATGATGGTGAACAAAGTGTAGGAAAAGAGAAGAGTGTGACAAGCACATCTAAGGATTAATGAGAGTGACTGTCCATGACTGAGCGAGCGACAGGCAGACACAAGCTGTTCAAATGCACATGTGACAGTTTCAAAGCCATCCAATGAATTTGTAATTGTATGATTTGAAGACTTCCAAGATATCTTTAGTGACTTCTTGCCTTTCTCTAGTGACCCAATAGGGCACATTTGAAACCAACCCAGTTTTGACAGCTTAGCAAACATATCAATAGATCAGATCAATTTTAAAACAGCCGTAAGAATCTTATTTTGAATAACTGAGCCAGCAACAGTACTTTTGTGCAGACATTGCTTCCTTGTAGAATCGCACCGATCCCGTTTGATGAACCTGCTATTTGCAACATTTTTGTTGCGTGTATAAGGATATATCACATTAAAAAAGTTAACAAAAACTGCAAAATTCAAATTATAACTGTTTTAAATCCACTGTGTGTCAATTTACCAGCTGCTCTGGACATCCTAAAATGTCAGTAAAATACAGTGCAACCAATGTCCTGCTACAATCTACAGTACAGATCAACTTCATAGAAACATTTTTTGATTATATTGTACTTTTTTACATTATACAGCGAATGCATTGTAATCTTCTAATTTTATGAAACAGCTTCACACGATTACTGTAAAGTGGATATAATATACTACTGCACTGTACTTGTGTACAGTTCATGCTTTAACTAGTCTAAACATCTCAGTGTCCTGCCTGAAGCATGACAGCATTGCTTATTTCATATCGTATTTAAATTCTTTAACACATACCTGCATCATTACCTCTTTTGTCAACACAGATATGACTCATTCCTGCAGCTAAAAAGCAGAAGTATGATAACTGGTGGTTTATACAGTATTAACACAGCAATCTGAGGCAAATCACTCAATCTGCTGAAGGATCTACACCAAAGCCTTAACTAAAGACAGGCACAATAAAGCAGGGTTACCTAGGAGGCCACATGTACAGGCCAGAGCAACAGGCTGAGAGACTGAGCCAGTGAATGTGATAAAATGAAGAAGAAAAGCAGAGGGAGAGATGTGCAACATGAAAGGGACAGAAATGGAGGAGGGCAGAATGCTAATGGACGCAGAAAGGTGGGTAATTAAAGAAATTCACCAAATGATTTGGTTTAACACTGTACTAATACAAACAGCGTCAGGCAAGGGAAACCCAGACACCTATTTATAAAAGCTCTATTTCACATATCTGTTATTAAATGTAACAGAGTCTATTGACAACTGTGTAGCATCTTTTCAAACCAAATATCTTAGCAGGTATAAACTGTTGTTAATGTACTTTCACTGGAATGGAAGCAGTAGAGAAAAGGGGTAGCTCGGTGTGCATGAATCAATAAGTGTTGTAAAAGAAAATGGCAGCTTAGACAAGGCAGCCGGTACAAGAATGAACGGCTCTAGCGTAAAGTCTGGAACTCTACTATAAAGAGTGAAAAACTGGTAATACTCAATTACAACAATTTACAAACTTCAGAGAGAATGATTTTGGAAAGATATCAAACAGAGATATTGTTTAAGATATTGTGGTTGTGTGACAAATCTCTGGCAGATGATTAAATTTAAGATGAACACGCTAACATCATTAACCTACAGCAACTGATCTGTTTGTTGGTTTCAACCATTCTTGCATCTTCTGCTTCTCCAGTCTCTTATACAAAGCAGAAGTTACATCCCTCAGTAGTGTTAGGATTGGATTTCAGGAGTTAAAGTTATTTTTCTACTTATCATCTGTATTATTTTGCTTTTATAATGGAAAAGTTCAGTATGACTATTTGTCTGTGTTTCATTAACAGCTCCATGTATCAGTATTAACCTGGCTCTTATGCATGCATTAGTTATAATATTCAGTTTTGAGTCAACTTGTAGTATTTCTTGTCTTCTTGGTGAAATGTGCATAAATTGATTGCAGAGATAAGTGAGTGTAGAGCCAACAGATTAGAAGATAATATGAGTTCATATTTGTATGAACCGTGTATGAACCTCGTATCCTGTTCATGTTGTGAGTGTTGAGTCAACGGATTAGAAAATAATATGAGTTTCCACTCATGTACAGGGCAGTCCCAGCCCGAGAAGATATATGTGAATTACTTCCTATTATCAGAGCTCTTGGAGACTTGTCATCTCATAGAGCCCAGCGCTGCAATAACTCTGCATTTAACCAGAAGAAAATAAATTTATGTAAAGTTGATTCCTGTTTCCTGAGTGTTACTTCTTGGGGCCTTCAGATAAAAGAACCGGTTGAATCTAAAAGTATGTGATTCTATTTACAAGCAGGGGTCCGTTGGTTTGTCTCAATATGAAACTATGTCCACTTAGCTACAAAAAAAAGTGTCAAACCCCCTTTCTCTGCGCTACAGAAGCAAACTGTTAAGGTCATCTCTTTCTCTGAGCAGGAAACTGTGGGTCTCTTTCAGTGAGAAACTAGATGGCATTCTCCTCTTTCCTTTCCCTCAACAAAAGCTGCCTGTCAATATCTCACTCTGTCACTGTTTGCCAGTTTGGAAATAGACAGTGATAGCACCATTTAGAACCAAGTGTGAATCCACTCTGACATAAGGCCTGACAATAGAGCAGACAGTCTCAGTTCACAAGAGACCTAAGATTAGACAGGCCACAAGGAAATCCCTGTTGGAGAGATCGGTTCCATTGATGCTGCCTTCCACAGAGTATTCAGACAAACTGTCTGTGTGTGTGTGCCTTTGTATTACTTACATCGCGGAGACCGAAACCTGTTAACGCATTCACATTGTTGGGACTTGGCCATCCTTGTGAAAATCACTGAATTTTAGGGTGGCATCATGGCTTAAGGTTGGGGTCAGGGTCAGGTGTTAGGCAAGTAGTGGTTATGGTTAAGGTTAGAGTAAGTCTACAGGAAATGAATGTAAGTCAATGTAAAGTCCCCACAAGGAATGAAAACACAGCATGCGTGTGTGTGTGTGTGCATGTGCGCAGCTATAATTTATCATATTTTAAATATAATATCATTAAAGATGGCAAAGGAGGAGAAACAGCCTATGGATATTACACACTTTGAACTGGACTGAATGTATTTCTGAGAAGGCCTAACTGCAAAACTGACCCTGTTTGACATAATTTAAACCACTTGTTCAAATGATCTAATATATCAGCAACAAATGTCACAGTCACATCTTTGCCAGCTCTGCTGTATATATGCCAAATCCCATCACCTTTGTCCTGTAATCGTCCATTAGTTGTTTTACTGTGCAAGTTGTCAACATAGCAAGGAGTTCATATCCATTTGCTGTATTTGGAGATTGACAGTTTAAATCTAGATTACACAAGACCCTGTCAATCAAATATGGAACTCTAAAATAAATCCTGCAAAACCCTTCTCCAGAATAAATTGATCATTTATACAGATTCTTATAAAACCACTGATAGCATAAGGAGACCAGGCAGGCAGGAGACTGCCTTTATTTTTTTAAAGAAAAATATTCTACTGGTAGTATTGGCTGCTAATGAATGTCAAATGATATCCCGCTGTAAACCAAAACGTGTCTCTTCCTGGTGCTCTAATCTCTTGATCTTGTAGCCTGATCTCCTGCTTCTGTTGTTAGACTGTTTCAACAGGACTAACTGGTCAGATAACATATTTTAGAGCTGTCTAGGCATGCAGTGACCCCAGCTCAACACTGGTGACCATGTTCAGACAATGTGTGCTTTTGACCTTTATCCTGTGTGACTTTTAAAAAATGTCATTACATTTTATTAAAGTCATAAAGTCCCGCCCCTGTGTATTCTTAGCTTTTGCTGCACAGTGCTCAGCATGTTATCACATGCTCAGGTAAGTCTGACAATCACTTACTGGGAATTTTTAAATTGTAAATGTATCTTTATAACAATCTCTAATGGACCAGTGATCCCATCTGTGACTGCTTTGAAAATCTCATTTCTGCATACTGAGTTTCTATAGATGGAAATCAGAGATGAACAGCCACTTACCTTTCAGTTTCTCCACCACACTCTGTCCGGCTCTCTCTGCCACCTGGCCATCCTCCCTCTGGTAACGGTCATCCAGGAATCGATCAGTGGCTTCTGACAAATGGACCTTCCCTGCCACACCCAGCTGCTCCATCAAGTTAGCTAGATTGACATCGTTTGACCATACATCAAACTTGAAACGTTTTATTCCGAGGATCCCACACAGCACAGTGCCCGTATGGACACCAACACGCATGCTGACAGTCTCACATGTCTCCTGGCAGAACTGCTCAATGGCTTGGATCATTCCTAGGCCCATCTCCATGCAGCAGTACGCGTGGTCCGGTCTGGGCTCAGGGCAGCCTGCTACACAGTAGTAGCAGTCTCCCAGAGTGCTGATCTTCTCACAGCAGGTTAGTTCACAGAGACGGTCAAAACGTCCGAACAGGTCATTCAGAAGGCCCACCAAGGCCGGCGCAGATTTATTGGCAGACATTTTAGTGAAACCCACAATGTCTGCAAACAGAATGCTGACAGGCTCCATGCGTTTCATGTTGAAGGGCCTAAATATTATCTCTGCACGGGGGATGGAGGTCTTCTTGCGTTTGTGATTGTTATGAGGGTGGTTCTTGGGGCTTGCAGCACTTTTGGCTTGTGACACTCCACTGATTCCTCCACCACCCACTGCCACGGCTGAAGCAGAGCAAGCACCAGAGGAATAACGCTTTCCAGAGTTCTCACCGCTACCATCATCATCCCCCTGCTTCATCAGCTCATCTGCAACTCGCCTTGGCATGGCCGAGTGGATCATACGTTCCTTCAAGGCCTTCTCCACCTCTAAGTCCTTGCCATGCATGATAGCCTGGCCCACTTTGAGGAAGGTGGTGCGGGAACGCACCTCCGACATGATGAATAGATGGATGCCGATGACATGCGCACACAAATGAAGCAAAGCTTTGGCTGGGCCTAGCCAGCGGAGGGTGTCTCCTTCCCAATCAGAAGCTGAACCCACTGACCCTGTCCCCCATCTGGTAGTGTCATAACTCCTTTGAAGTAATGGTAGCCATCCTAATGCCTCAAATAAAACAGAATACAGGAAACCCAGCATTACTGAGGCATACAGACGGACATGGAGGACACTGTATAACAACAAGAGAACCTCCATGCAAAGGGAAAAGGTGCCTACAGGGGAGATGCAAGGGGTTGGACGCAGTACTCCTTCAACGGTTGAAAGATATGAGGCATTCCCACCGCCAGCCCACTCCAGCTCAGTGTAACCAGCAGTCTGTATCTGTGGAGCTAAGGTGATGGCAAAGGTGACCACTATCAGGAGCAAGGAAGTCTGGTTGTACAGCCATGTGTAAGGCTGGGTGAAGGTGAACAAAAAGAGGAGCACTAGGAGGACCAAAAAGGAGGCTGTGGGGGCTAGGAAGGTCACAGGGTCGCAGCGGTCACTATTGACCCCAAAATACACTGCCCAGAGGGCAGCTGCCACTGCGAGGTAGAACAGGACGTAACGGAAGCAGCGCTGCGTTTGAGGAAAGCACCTCTCTTGGCATGCCTCTTCCAGGATTGGGGAGTCAAACTTGGGGTCCCAGCACTGAGCAGCAGAGCTTTCAAAAAGCCGAGGCGCCTTGCTACGTGCCCTCAGAGCAGAGGTCAAACCCGGTCTGGAGTCTGCTGAGCTGCAGCTGGAGATGCTGTATTTGTGAAGGTTAGGGTTCATTTCACTTGCAGCGCCATAGCCCCCAGCCCCTTCTCCTGCCCTTGCTCCGCTGTTAGCAGTCCTCACTGACTCATGTTGATGCACGTGTGGCGCGCTGTTGGTAATCCGCACGGTCACGGCACCATCCCCGCTAGACTCACAGCTCACTTCCGAGCCATGCATGAGAAGCTGCCGGTGATGTTGCAGAGTGGCCATATTTACGGGTGTGACGCGAAAACGAGAGGTGTTAAATATCAATAATATCTTCGGAAGGCGCTCAGGCAATTAGACGCGGTGCGTGGGCGCCGTGGGCGCACATGCTGCACAGAGAGGAGAGAGGTGGCGGGAGAGTTACAGGCTGGCAGACGGAGAGGAAGAGAGAGAGCTAAGGTGTTTGTTGGAATTATCACACTGCATGAATGGTGAGCATGGCACAGACGTCTTTGCTACGCACACAGCAGTCTGCACAGTCACTCACACAAGACGCGTCGTTCCAGTTTCTTGAGCAGTTCATTATCCGACGCAGGGTTTGCGTCAGTATTCACATTAACATATATCCTTCTGCAAAGAGGCTCCTGGTTTGAGCCCGACTTTCTCTCACCTAAATTGACCATCCTTCTGGGAAAGGACCAGTTAATGATGCAACGGTTTTCGATGCCTTCATCAAGTCAGTCCTGACGTTACATGAGTGGAAATGACCTCCACTGGATATACGCAATATTTCGATACTGATGACATTACAAAGTCAGACAGCGTCAGAAGAAATGCGCACTTTTCTTCATTCCGTAATAACGTTGTTTTTATGGGGTGTTCAGGTCCAGGGTTTCACTGAATGACCAGATACTGATAGAGACTGTCAACAGTTGTGCAGAGCAAGTGGCTACAAAAGTTACACGCTCTCTTTTTTATCTCCACTACAAGGACAATTTACACTTCCTCTCCCTTCTTAAAAACCGAAGCAAAATACAATTTTGTGCACACGAATCCCGCCACCATAAAGCCTAAACTACAGGAAAAAAATAAGTAATTATTAAACAGTCCTCACTTAAAACAGTATTCTAGTTTTACATAACGTTGGTAGCTTCATATGCTCTGAATGTCCCATGGGCTAAAAAATGATTGCCATCAAACTAAAGTGAATAAACTGTGAATTCCGTCAATTCAAAAAGCGAGTGATCTGTAATTAAGACTGCTTTAGCTTCTTCTCACGCATGGCTCAGTGTGTTAAGGATTTGCATGTCTTATTCCCATACATTCTCCTCCTCTCTTTATTCCAGTGGGGCCTTGCAAATGTTCCAGACTGAGTTATTTGGAAGTCCTGTCCAGTCCAAGATTCAGATCATAAAAGGCCTGACAGGCAGGCCTATTCAAACTGATCCAGCCCCGTCCTTTCCTGAACTCTCTCTCCGGATCTCCACCGTTTATTCCCCCTCTGCCTTCCAAAGAGGGGTTAGGGGAGGTGTATGCGCTATTCACAGACGCGTAATCCTAAAAGAGAAGCGCAAAAAAATACCATCCGCTGACCCAAATTAGTGTAGGTTTGCTTCTGCTGGGAGTGTCTGCAACTTGTTACGCGCAGTTGGCAAAACATACAGCTAGTCGGAACAGCCTCGGTCGGAACAGGCTGGTCTATAAATAGTGATGATCAAAACTCCTGCAATAACACCAGCGGTGAGTAACATTTGACTGCTTTCCTTCAGCTTTTCTATGGAATAACAGGAGCGCTTCATACAGAAGACGTAATACTCAACTATATCAAGTCATTAAACGCGTGCAAAAAGTCAGCCTTGGGCCCCCTCTCGTTGCCAACAGCTCAAAAAACTTTTTCCCAGGCCGTATTTCCTGCGTTTGGAGAGGAGATCCAGTTAGTAGTCTGTGGTTATTTGGAACTGAGGCTGGATTTCCTTTCCTCGCATTTCCCCTTGAGCAAAGAAGTAGAAAATCCCCAGCGCATGAAAGGAAAGCCCTTGGATATCTCCTCGGTGGAGTCAAAGCAGCCCAACAATCAGCGGTGTCTCCTTGTTTCTACCAATCTGGACAGCACTAGTTTTTGCTGGCAGGCATGCATGTATCCAACAAACACAACACTGTGCGCTCTGGCTGTGGTGCGTCCTCTTCCGTCTGCCGCTGGTTGCCACCCTTTTTATCCAGGCTATAGCTGTCTGTTATAGCTGGGGCTAAATAAAAACAGACCAACAGCAGGAGTGTTGGGGCTGGTTTTCCAGCTTATCCGGGCGAACGTAATACCTCCACTCCTGTAGCTGCCACCATCTTCGCTGTGTGACTGAGTCGGAAATACTCCCCCAGCTGTTGTGGCGGGGAGGGTTGATGGGACCAGCCTGTCAAGCCACTGTTCTAAAAAAACACGGCTTCCGGTTTTGCCTTTCAGAGAGCCCAAAAAGAATTCCATCCAGTATTGCTTATGCTGTAGAAGACGAAAGCATTCAAAGGTGTTGGTTTACAATAACATTCATAGGTACAGTAAAAGTCAAGCTCTTAAAGGTAATGAATAAACAAAGACATTATAATTAATAAACTAGAAATAATAAAATATAATTAAGCCTAGATAAGATTACAATAACTAATATTATTTATTTAGGCCCTATTTGTGTTTTTCACCACAGGCAATGCTTTAGGATAACTCATAACTGAACCAGAGTTAGCATGCCTAATTTTCATCAACTGCCCTTGACTATACAGTGTTAAAAGGTACCCTAAATAGGCTAGATCCAGATCAAGATCAAAGATTTTTATTGTCAATTCACTATATGTGCAGGACATACAGAAAAATCTAAATACCATTTGTCTCTCACCTAATATTGAATGCCCATACCATTTAATAAACTAAAATAAAATTAAAGTAGAATTAAAATAGAATAAGAAAACTAAATTAAAGTAATTAGGATAAAACTAAATGGTAGTACAGCCTAATAGGCTATGACTCAAAACCATGTCCAATCAGTGACAGTAGTGCAAATAACAACAAGAAGATTGTCAGATGGTTGTGAGATTGAGATGCACATGGACAGTGTCGCAAATGACCAAGAGAGAACCAACTAGAACCCCACATGTAATTTATTTAATGATATTCAAATATAAATTGCTAGTTTTCAAAATGATTCATACTATTGTGGCAGTTTAGTTAAGGACATGTAATGTTTGTGTTACATAACTAACGTTAAATGGCTAACGTTAGTTATCTCATATGTGCATTTGGGATAATAATTAGTTCGTTTTGTAGCTGGTACAAACACACTTCCATATTTAAAAAAAAGCATTACATGTTAGTAAGCCTAATATGCTTAATATTTTTACTAACTATTTTGTTACTACTTACATTTGTTTGTTTGTTAAGGTCAGGTCTCCACAACTAGAAAATAATTTAGATAAAGCTAACTCTTATAAGGTCTCTGTTAGCAACAGGTTGGCATGTAGCCTACAGTAAGTAAGCAACATTACCAGCATTCATTTACAAACATTAAACCTGAGCCTAAAAGTGAACTAAACTGTATATTTAACAAATACTGTAACTACTAAAAGAGAAAAACACCGACAACTTAGCGCCTTTAATTTGGAGGCGGACTTTGACCTGGTGTCAATTCCCTAGATGTCTCTAACTTGACCGCTGCTGCTGGGTGGGTGTCATAAGAAAGATTTCCACAATGTCTCCACCTTTTACAGTAGCCTCTGGGATTTTCTGTCTGACTATAAACAATTATGACCATCTTGACATTCAACAAACACTACTGAGTTCTTTTAGAGATCATTAATTAATAATATTGCCAACCACAGGTAAAACATATGCCCTGACAGCTACAGAAGTTCCTTTCAGCATGATTTGTTTTCTACTTTGTTTGAGTATCACTCCCTGAACCTGTTTCTAATAGCCTACAGGTAGTAGTATAATACTGTAGGCTTATACAAGTAGAAGTAACAGCTTTTCACGCAGTAGTTTACTGCCTGTGTTTTTAGATGAACAGTACTTTCCAAGTAGATGCCAGTCTTTACTGTTTACTGTGACACTGCATCACAACACAGTGAACAGGGTGTTAATTAGTCAAACTTTAGTATACTAAATAACCTTTTAAGTCATATAGCTATTAGATATGACAATCTTCATTAGGTTTTGGCAATGAAGTAGGATATTTAACATCACAGTAGGCTATAGCCTTTTGAGATGTGTATGATGAAATGGTCTAAATTTTCACTTGAATTCATCCAAAAAGCTTTTTGATATTGTTATTATAATACAGTTTTTAAAAAATATATTATTTCGCCTGAGAGCAGTAATCCGCTACTATATGTTGTTTCACTTTTCTGTGATTACACTTCCCACAGTTAATAAACGACAATAGGACAACTCAATTTGATTTTCTCCACCTCATTGAGGGAAACAAATTATGTTCTTATCTACATATTTTTAAAACTGAAATATCAACATAATATTAATTATGCAACTGAAATAAATCTTGTGTGGGTCTTGATTATTTTCTTTCTTTAATTTATTATCATTGAGAATGGATCTGGTACTGTTTTGAGGACAGTTAAGATCTGCACACAGTCCTTATCCATGAGATATAATTAGTATATTTTTTTAATTTAGTCTGATATGTAGGAAAAGTATAACATCTAATACATTACATTTTGTGTATCAGATATTTCTCAGATTGAGACCTTTTTCAACTTAATTTGTTGTCAATAAAAGTGCTCTGACTGTACTTGCCGTGAGGTCGGGTTTTGGTGGAAAAACCGTGGAAGTACACAACAGTTAAATGTTGTATCTCATAGCAGGAGAACATCTTTTGACACATTAAGGATTATCCCTGGCAAATCTTGCAGAGCAGTTTCTTTTACTAACATATAATTATGTCTGTTTGTCATTTGTTTAAGTTATCAAATACCCAAGGCGCTGTGCTGTTCATTGGCATTTCTATACAGCACAGCCGAAGACAGTGAAGTGATGAGACTGTGACCCGCAGGTGAATAGGAAGAAAATAAATAAGCTAACACATGGGTATAGTACTGGTTCAGCGTGTGTGCGTTCTCCTCATTTGAAGAAGCAATAACGTCTCAACTTTGAATCCAATAAAGCAATAAAGCAAGTAACCCTGTGTGCATCATTTAAAGGTGTCTTTGTGTGAGTGTGTACTTGGCATGTGGGTGGCATGTGTACATGCTTATGTTCAAGAGCTTATACAAGAGAGGTCTGTTTGTAGAGTTGATAAAGCTACACTGATAAGTCAGTGCTAACACCGTGACTAAAACCTGGGAGTGCTACCTGCCAGCTAATAAAACAGATCATACAGAGAATATGATCTGAAACACATATTTACATGTCTAACATTTATTACATAGGTGTGTTGATGCCGTGTGTGTCGTGATGTGATACTTTATTGACCACTGCAGGGAAATTACTGTAAGTTCTTGCTGAAGCTAAGGATTTAGCTGCAGGACATTTGCAGATGGCCTTGAAAGTTTTAAGGGATGCATCAGAGGAGACACTTTAACGTTCTGTGGTTGCTCCATGGAACAAGCTGCCAACAAATATGGTGATATGCTGGTTTAATGAAATATTCGGGGCGGGGGACTTCCTTAAAGGCATTCTACTTCTAAAAGCTCATGTGCAGTATTAGCATTTTTATTTTTAGCAATGTTGGTACCATGGTATAAGCATGGGAATGTCTGTTGGACAGTCACCCATTCCACCACTTTAGTCCAGACTGAAGTATCTTAACAACTACTGGATGGGCTGACACAGAATTAGGTTCACACTTTTATGGCTTCCAGGTGATGTATCCTAATGACTGAGGTGCCTCTTGCATGGCATGTATTTATGTAACAAAGGTTCATTTGGAGTGCTGCTCATTTTGTTTCTGATTTCAACATTGTATTTACTGTATTTGAAGCAGTGATACACTTTAACTCTACCTGCTGTTAGGCTAACAGTCTGACTGAATTGCCACTTTGACTTTATTCATTCTATTTGAATCACTGAACAAATCTGAAATGAGCACAGTTTACAATCAGCTAACAAAACTGTGTGCATATCTGAAGACTTATATAAACTGTTAGTTAAAACAAATTAGACAGTTACTAGTTACCACTGGGACTGATACTGTGATAGACAATATAGGTCAGATTGTTCTAATACATTACCATAGTCATTCTTAGTTATGTCATATATAAAAAACTGCTATATGCAAATACAGCTTTAAGTAACTGAATTTACATTTATGATGTGATTTGTAACTACTTACAGAATGTCCCGATCTAACTCTGTACTAAAGGCCTCATTTTGATTTTGTATATATTATGAAACTGATCAGTATGACATTGTAATGATGTGACCAAGACAAAGTCCTATGCATTTGCTTTGTCTGATACTGTAAAGTGGACCTGAGTGAGTCCTCGTCCCAGTTTAGCTGGCCCTCTCACCTTGCTAAGTATCTGAAATCAGTTAGTAATACCACACCATCTTCAGACCACCACTATCAAATACTGCTACATTCTACTTGGCAAACAACAAGGACACACTGCTTTCAGTGAAATCATGCCTAACTTAATAATAGAGAGATTTTAACAATACCATGACACCAACAATCAGCAAAGATGGATTGTTAATGTGTCCTCCATGTTCTTTTCCTCTGTAGTGGGGAAAGTCCCCTCTGTTTTGGTGTTTTTTTGTTTGTTTGTTTTGTTTTGGTATTTACTTTAGCAGCTGATAAAAAGAAATAAAATGTATTTTTCCACCATACAATCTGCTGTGTAGCAAGCCTGATTAACACATTGAATTGAGGCGCCTCCTGGTGGTTGTTTTAGTCACTGCAGGTGATAATTAACCTATACCAAAGAAAAACATTTTTATCTGTCAGTGAGGCTCAGGACATTTATCTGCTCACCCAGCCGATAGACATTTAACCAAGTTTCTAATCCATAAACTGCTCTTATGTATGAACAAATTATGTTCTGAAGGCTTATGTATGTCCCACATTTCCCAAACCCCCTTTCATCCCCTCTCCCTTGAATTTTTCTGCTGAACAACCAACTGATATGAATTATATATTGATTGTTTAAGTGGAAGAGCTTTCATTTGCACTGTCATTGTACCCTCTCAAAGAAAACAGGCTTGGAGATTTTTTTTACTCAAAAGAAATTACACAGAAGAATGACAATTACAAACAGACCTAAAAGAATGAGGAAAAGATTACATTTGAAAGAAAATGCCCATGTGGTATGCAGCAGTACTGAGCTAAAACTAGCTTAAAAGGACTACATTCAGTCTTTTCACTCCTAGTGCAGTACTGAGAAATGATAAACTGTTTCTATAACGAACGTAGTATAGTACAATACAAAGAAGAAATGCATTACAATAGTGTAACAGGACTAACTGTGGTTGAATCACTGCTCAATAAAACACGGAGAGAGAACACTTCTGTTTATTTGATTGTCCCACCAATTACAACATGTGCCCTGACTAATAGCCTACTATGGCCTAACTGTAAAAGCACAGCACAGCAGATCTGAGTCTTCAGACTTTGCAACCAACAGAGATGACATAAGAGTAGCAGCATTTAGCAGGAGTAGCCTTTATCTCTGGAGGAGTACAGCCACTGTCAGCATCTCTCTCTGAGGAAAAACTGAATAAAGAATGTACAAACTTGAAAATAGTGAGAAACAAAAGAACATTCTTAGATTTAGGCATTCCGTGAACAGTTATGTAGAAATAAAGGTGTTTGGGGTTTTTTCCTCACCTTTTTCTGCTGCAGATATTCACATGTTGCAGACAGCACGGGCTTCAGTTATAGAGGACTTGAGTGCCACAAAAGGATGACTACATGTACATGTTGTTCTATACTTTGTTTTGTACCAAACTGCAGTCAAAAATACCACATGCAAACATTTCTCACTATTGGTTTTGACCCACAGAAGTACTACAGAGGTGCCATATAGGACAATGTGTGTTATTATACAGTCATAAAAAGGTATTTGAAAATCAATTAGGCCTGTATTCTACAACTGATTTAAACTGTCCCTGTGTAGTAAAACCTATGTATGGTACATCATTCTGGTAAAAACAAGCAACAAAAAGTATTTTAAATACTGCTTGACTCAGGTCTGATTGGAACTACAATATTTCCTATTCTCTTTCTCAGTTGTTTCTCTCTCTCAGTCTACCTGAAGATCACAGCAATGGAGGGTTTTTTTTGCAGGAATCCCTCTGACTGCTGCCATCCCCTCTGTTTCTCCTTCTGCACCCTTTTCTACTATCTCACTGCTTCCGCCAACGATTCTTTGGTTTCTCCTCACACCCAGGATCTTGGCAGGTGCCAGGGAGAGGGGGTGAGGTTGTTGGCACAGCCTTTACTGGGGTAGGCTTATTTGTGGCCTCACTGATGCTGCTGAGCAGAGCTGGGAGCTCGTGCGAGATGACCTTCTCCAGCTTCTCCAGCAGACAGCCTCCGGTCCAGCTGCAGTGGCTGGAGAGCTGCTTGAAGCTGGAAATAGGATTCACACCAAAGAAGTCCTGGTACGCCTCCTTGTCGGGCAGGTCAAACTTGCTGACATTGGTCTTGACCAGAATGGACTTGAAGATGTAGTACTTGTCCGGGTCATCGGCAATGTCTTGAAACACCTCGTGAGGGTCACTAAACCAGCCCAGCTTGTCGTAGTAGGCCTGGAGGTAGCGGTCCACTAGCAGGGCGTGGATGCGCACACGGATGCCATGCTGACGTATGAAAGCGATCTTGTTTTCCATCTGGTTCTCAATCACCTGAAGGGCACAAAGAGAAAGAAACAACAATGGATAAAAGGAGAGAGACAAAATAAACAGAAGGCTGAAACAGGAAGAAACATTTTGAATTATGCAAATAGTATTGAGAGGATTTAGGTTTCCACTGTACTGAAAATGACATGTATATATAGGACCTGAGTGCCACAAATATAAATCACAGAGTAGATGTGTACTGCAAAGTTTTGTTGAGTTTCAGACTTTCAAAAACAAGTCACAAAGTTGTACCTGGCTGAGATCCTCCAGCAGTGAAATCTCCTCTTTCCTGAAGAGCTGTTGACTGGTGTCCACAGCATAGACCTGAGGCCAGAAGGAGCTGACATAAACCCGAGGGGGCTCTGTGACGTTAATCAGCGGTGCCATACTCCAGAACAAGGCCCCATAGACCCTCATCAGGTCCTGGGTGGAGACACTGTCAGCCTTGTTGAGGATGAGGCGAATCTGGGATTCGCGCCCTTTCATCTGCCTGAAGAGCATCTCCAGCTCCCCACCCACGTCCAGCTTGGTGGGGTCGAACACCAGGAAGATCAGATCAGCTCGATCAATAAACCACTGACACACCTCATTGTAGGGGTAACCTGAGGGAGAAGAGGGAGGAGATACAGTACAAGATAAATGTTCCAGCTCCGTTTAAGGTCTTAAAGCAGCATGGTGGTCATGTTGTTCTTCTTATTCTTCTATTTTACAGAAAAAGGTGAAAGTCACATTGTTATGAGGATTTCTGGTTACAGCAGTTTAGAAAAAGGTGTCTTTTGCAAAGATCACTCAGAAGATTCAAGCACACACCTTTACATTGTGTGTTTTAGTGTGAAACTCTTAACTTACTCTACTCTGTGACACGACAGACACAACTTATTCACACACCTTTTATTTGTTTGTATTCTTTGATTTCTGTACAAATGCTTAGTGGTGTACAACTTTAATATACTGTGGTTGGCACAAGTGTGTACAGAAAGATTTCCAATAGTAAGACCCACCTCTCTCCTGCTGCTTGCGATTTTCAATGATGCCGGGTGTGTCGACAATGGTGACCCTCTCCAGCAGCTTGTGGGGCATCTCGATACCCACCAGTCGCTCCAGAAAACCTTGGCCAAACCTCTCCAGGGGTGAGAAAGATCGTGAACTGTCCGCTGCCATAACAATTCCCTCTATGGTCCGAAACTTCTCCCCGTGTGTTATGACGGTGTACTCAGAGGTGGTGGGTTCAGCACCTGGAGGAAGAATGAAAGAAATTGGTTTAATGCAGGGTGTATCTGTGACTTAAACTTGTTTGGTGATTGGTTTAATTTCATCTGATGCAGTAGGTGGTAGTATACAGTACACAAGGTAATATGTTAAAAAAATTATTCTTAATTAATTAGTACATTTGCCTTAACTAAGCACTGTAGACGTTTGCTTAATGTTAAATTAATAGTTAAACAGTAATTGACATAATATCAGCCTATGTTTCCTCAGTAACTAACATGTTGACAGATGTTTAGCTAATGTTTACTATTCATTTTACGATCACCCGTTAGAACAAGATATAATTCATAGGCAGAGGTTATTATGTGTATTCATTAAAAAGCACAGTGTTTCTTTACTAAAGCAAAATTTTACGTGACATTATTTTGCTGCTGCCACTGTACAGTGGCTACTATTCATGAAAACAAATTTTCACGTGACATTTTTTTGCGCCTGCCACTGTACAGTGGCTACTATTCATGAAAACCTCTGTCTTTTTAAGTGAACTTGCAGTATGTGGTGGGTCTTGGTGACTAATTATAAAATATATAGTGAGTAACTTGTGGTTTATTCATTACACCCTTGTGATTTACACTTGTTATCATTGGATATTGACCATGTCTGTTTTTAGTTTGCCGAGCTGTGTCACAAACAACCGGGTTTTATTGGAATGAACCTGTGTAGAGTTCCTGGGATGTTCCGTGAAGACCCAGCAGGTAGTTGATCATGGAGGACTTGCCGACGCTCCAGGGCCCCAAAAATAAAACCATGGGCTTAGAGGTGATCTCACCATCTGAGTGTTTGTAGACATAAATTGAGAAGGAGTGAGAATAAAGTAACATTAAAATAAATCAGCTTCAGACAAAAAAGTGCTCTATCATTGTCTTTTTTTCTGAATACTAAATTGAGCTGCAACAATATCTTATATCCAAATTGTTATTATTCAATACTGCTCACTTAATTAAAGCTTATGTTATGTCATACTGGTCGTTCAGTCCAGCAAAGTCGATGTAACCCCAACATTTTGATTCAGAGCAACATATCTCAACACAGACTTTCATTTTATATGAATACTCATGGGTGTCATAGGATGATCATCAAAATATTAATTTTCTTGGGCATCTTTAGCTTTAGGTTAAAAAGTAGAGTACTGTAGCACTCAGGGTAGAGAGACACTTGGTGGGATCCCCCATAATGCCCCTCTGGGCGGGACATATATAGTTCTGTGTTGGAAGGTTAGTAGTGTGTTCGGTGTGTTCTGTGTTGCTGTGTGAATAATAAAATAGCAGCTTGACAGAGTGCAGAAGAGGTTTTGGTGTCTGGCTCCTTCTTCAGCCCGGCAAACTTTACATTGATGTAAGAAGTGGGATCTCCAGAGATGATGACATTATTCCAGGAAACCAATGACCTCATCATCTAGCGGAAAAAGAAAAAGTGATGCTACAACCCAGAACAATCCCCCATAATGCCCCTCTGGGCGGGACATATATAGTTCTGTGTTGGAAGGTTAGTAATCATACTGGTCGTTCAGTCCAGCAAAGTCGATGTAACCCCAACATTTTGATTCAGAGCAACATATCTCAACACAGACTTTCATTTTATATGAATACTCATGGGTGTCATAGGATGATCATCAAAATATTTATTTTCTTGAGCATCTTTAGCTTTAGGTTAAAAAGTAGAGTACTGTAGCACTCAGGGTAGAGAGACACTTGGTGGGATCCCCCATAATGCCCCTCTGGGCGGGACATATATAGTTCTGTGTTGGAAGGTTAGTAGTGTGTTCGGTGTGTTCTGTGTTGCTGTGTGAATAATAAAATAGCAGCTTGACAGAGTGCAGAAGAGGTTTTGGTGTCTGGCTCCTTCTTCAGCCCGGCAAACTTTACATTGATGTAATCCAAATTGTTATTATTCAATACTGCTGACTTAATTAAAGCTTATGTTTTAAATCATACTGGTCGTTCAGTCCAGCAAAGTCGATGTAACCCCAACATTTTGATTCAGAGCAACATATCTCAACACAGACTTTCATTTTATATGAATACTCATGGGTGTCATAGGATGATCATCAAAATATTAATTTTCTTGGGCATCTTTAGCTTTAGGTTAAAAAGTAGAGTACTGTAGCACTCAGGGTAGAGAGACACTTGGTGGGATCCCCCATAATGCCCCTCTGGGCGGGACATATATAGTTCTGTGTTGGAAGGTTAGTAGTGTGTTCGGTGTGTTCTGTGTTGCTGTGTGAATAATAAAATAGCAGCTTGACAGAGTGCAGAAGAGGTTTTGGTGTCTGGCTCCTTCTTCAGCCCGGCAAACTTTACATTGATGTAAGAAGTGGGATCTCCAGAGATGATGACATTATTCCAGGAAACCAATGACCTCATCATCTAGCGGAAAAAGAAAAAGTGATGCTACAACCCAGAACAGATAAGGATAATCACCTTGGCCAAGTATGTCACACACAAGGAATTTGTTTCCAGTACAGAATCGAGGCAGCCATCTGCGGCACCAACTCAACCGATGGCTCTAACCACTGGGGGCAACAGGTGGATTCAGTGTCTTGCTCAAGGACACTTTGACATGTGTATTGCAGGCACCGAGATTTGAACCTTGAACCTTCCAATTGGAAATGACTGCTTTACCCACTGAACCACTGTCGCCTCCCCCGCAGATGCCCTAACAGCTGCTTTGAGCTTGCTAGCTACTCTGCCTGCACAGAGAGCCCACCAAAATGAGGCTGCTGATAGAGCCAGTGTTTCTCCTCAGTGAGCCAGTGGAGCTTCAGCGGACCACCAACACCACAGCGTCACCCAGAGCCAATGCCAGCCAATCCAGAGCTGCAGACTGTCTAGCCTGCACTGGGGGTGGCTGGACCAGCTCCCGATCAGAGGCCATCCTGCCCGAGAGACTGCAGCATGGAGCCAAGGGCCAACCGGTGAGATGTTGTGAAGCCACCGTGGTACAGTGAGGAAAGGCTGCTCGAGACATACCTCATTCAAGTGTGGACACCAGCATAGGTGAACACCTGGTCAACTGAGGAGTTCGCTGACTGAGTTGTCCTCACCCTGGTGAGGTGAGGCTCTGCAGATCCTTGAGGACCTGCCAACCCAGGAATGACATGACTGGCCAACTATGAGAGGGCACTGCAGTGCAGGTTTGGTGGCACTGGTAAGGAGAGAGCCTGGGTGCCTACCCTGCTGACATCCATTGCTACACACAATGTGGATACCCAACTGTTGACAGCTTGACCTTGGAAGAACTCGCTCTCCATGCCTTTGTCTGGGGACTCTGGCCAGAGTGACTCCGAGCATCTCTGCCACTCACCCGATAGTGGCTCTGGCTGAAGCAGAGCAGGTCGAGCACGTGCTGTACACTGCCACTGTGAGACACCAAGTGTGAAAAGCGGACCTCGAGGGGATAGAGGAGGAGGAGGCAGCCAGCCATGTCTCCGCTACAATTCCACCACCATGCAGAAGCATGATGCAGAGAGGAGTGCTACTGCAGTGAGGAGTTGAGCCACATCACTCACCACTGCCCAGGACTGGCACCATGGAGCCCAGCACTTTCAGACAGTTTGTCCATGTACAACCTGTCACAGCTGAGGGTCAGCTGTCTGAGCCACACACACAGCTTGTACCTGAACTGTGAAGTGAATGGCACCAAATGTGGTGCCTTGACCTGCTAGCGGAGTGTGGGGCCACAGGGGATGTGCCTAGGGTGGATTCATTGCCACAGCAGGCTGCCCCCAAACATGTAAGAGACTATGCAATAACTATGGTTACTGAGTACAGTTAACCAGTCTGGTGGGGCTGGAGAGACACTTATCGGGTCTCCCAGAATGCCAGAGGGGAGAAGCACCTGGCAGGATTCCCCATAATGCCCCTCAGGGTGGGAGGTATATAGTTCTGGGTAGGTGGGATTGCTGCCGTGTTAGGTGTGTTCTGTGTGACTAATAAAATATTGTCTCTACAGAGTGCAGAAAAGGCAGTTTTGGTATCTGGCTCCTTCTTCAGCCCAGCCAGTGTATATTCATGCTCCCCTGACATACAGTATGAGCTCTTAAACATAAGCTTAGCAAATGATAACCCAGAATATAATAAGCAACTGCTTAAATTCACTTTTTCATTTAAATAATACACTCTGTGACACTGGTGTGTAAATGACTGCTTTCAAACATCCTGACTGTGAACATGTCCATCCATTCTGCACCACAAGGGGTCCCTGAGTCACATGGCACAGAGTGAAGTCTTCTCCTGCTCCTTAGCATAAATAACACTCTGCCCTCAAGAGCTATGGAACAAAGTTGTAGGGAGTCTGGCCCACACAAAGTTCCCTTTAATTTTCAGCAGACAGAGACCTTATTGTGCTTCCCTGAGTGCCTGGTTTGAATAAAGTCAGGTCCTGGCTCCATTTCTACTTAATCATAACTTCATTTGTACTTCACTGTTTCTGTGCAACTCCAGCTTATTAAACAATGTACTGTATGTATGTATGCATGTACAGTTTGATGAGCTGATAAAGGCTCACAGGTGAGTGAGTATGGTGGGTGTTGATTATTGATTTTGGCTAGATGCTCAGTTTACATAACATTTGGAAAAGGAAATGGTTGAGGTTAAGTACAATATATTAGCTGACTAACTGCAGAGCATGGTCAATTTTTGTATTCGCTTATTTATTTGACTTGGTCCCAGAGCTGTGACTCACACACTCACAACAACGTGATGTATAACAGTCACAGAGAATCATTTCAAATAAAGATTTTTATACTGTTTGTAATTCAAAGGTTACTTTACATTATATGAACTGAACCACTATGAACACATGATTGTGGACACTGATCTCCAACAAAAACCATATGTACCTGTGACTTCATGCTGCCTGAGTTCGTTGTACTTGTAGGCCTGCTCCAGTGGCCTGATGGCCGTGTGATAGATGTTCAGTAGCTTCTTTGTGGCAGCTATAGTAAAAGTGAGAGAGAGGGACATTTTGGACAAGAGTATTATTAATATTCTTGCTACTATTTCTCATTACAACAGTGCAGTACGTGGTGAATTGCCCTCATAATGTCAGTTGAAATGAGCTAAGGTGATGACTCGAATGGCTCTGCTGCAGCTCTTTGGCCTCTCTAAAATGAAGTTGGTTTAACAGAACAGAGAGGCTTTCATGCTGAGGATGGAGTTACACACTGCACTGATTAATCACTTGCCTGAAGACATATCTGCATGTACACACACACACACACACACACACACACACACACACACACACACAAAGGGCACTGGATTAAACATCATGAAACAATTTTCAGAATAGTTTCAGCAGAAAAGCCCCCAAAATTGTCTCAAACTTCCTTTCATTCACATGCAAACACATCTGTTTTTCTTTTCCAGCTGTAAACATTCTGCTGCATTTGTATGTCCACAGCAAAAGTTGAAACGATGGGCAGCACAGCGATGTAATCACTGAAAATCCAATTTTTGATTGGTAGGATATGAGTTTCCTTGGTTCTGTGTATATGTCTGTATGTATTGTAAACCATCCACAGCAGAATCAGTGTTTAGGTGTATACATACTGTCAATGCTGGTGGGAATTTCGCTAGTCTTATATTGTTTCATTGCAGGACAGGAGCTCCTAGCCACAGGTTGACTTTTGTCAGTCATTTTTAGATGCATTTATTCCTTACAGTACCAGAGAACTCTGCTGAGTGCTCAGCAGTAGTCAGGCGCAGTGTGTCCTCAATGTGGGAGCGGTCCCTCAGTGCTGGGCCTGCTGCCTCACCCTCCTCATGCCCTGGAAAAAGGAACAGACTGTCAGTCAGTTATAAGGTCATCAGTCCTGACATGCAATTAGCTGTGACAGCAAGAAACTGTTCATGCATGAATGAGACAAAGAAGGCCCAGTAGACAATTTGGCAGTTTTCTGTCGGATACACCGACAAATAATGACACTGTTATATCCTAAACTAAGTGAATCACAGTCTCTTATTCACTAAAGTATTCAAAAGCAATTCTGTTGATATGGGTACACAATTAATGTGATTCTCCAGATAAGTGGTTTATTTGTGAGGGAACCGACCATCTGGAATGCTACATGTCCTGGCTGTCTGTCAGTCTATTCCCTTCCTCTGCTATTTCAGTCTGTTTATTTCTGTACCTCTTTAGCTATACACGGTGTCATGTTTTTGGGGTGTGGCATGCTTGAAAGACAAAGAGAGGAAGAGCGAACAATAGAGAATCATTTCATAACCCATCTCAGCTAAATGCCCAGTGAAACAAGACTCACGTTTCCAAATAGAATATCTGGTATGACATATTTTATATTGGGTTAATATGTTGTAAGTAATGGGTTAATGGCTTATATAACTACTTTTGCATTGCATAGTTGTGAAAAATTTGACTTATATACAGCTACCTCCATCTTGGCTTGTGTTTTGTATAAATGAATAAATCATTATTAAGTGGATTTTGGTCTGGATACACTGCAGCTAATGTCCTCATGATCCATTCAGAGAGATGTCCCATATGAATTACAGGACTAGACTGGCATTTTGGGAACTTTGCTTGTTTTCTTTCTTGCTGAGAGTTAGAAGAAGATTGCGCCTTTTTCATGTTTGTACGGTAAGTATATGCTACGCTACAGCCAGCAGCTGGCTAGCATAGCATTGCATAAAGACTGGAAACTGAGGGAAACGACTGTCCAGAAACATCTGCTTACCAGCATCTCTTGAGGTCTTTAATTAACACATCATATTTCAGATGTATAGGGGGAATAACGCAAAACATGCTGTGCTATTACAGGGGACTATATACTGTACCTGATTATTTCTTGGCACAGATCCCCGTGTAAAACCACAACATACCATCTTTTACACATGCATGGAGGCCAGGCTAGTTGTTTCCCAATTTCCAGTCTTTGTGCTAAGCCAAGATAAGCTAACTGGCTGTAGCTTCATATTATTAGAGAGTGGTATCAATCGTCTCATCTACATAAGTGTATTTTTCAAAATGTCCGCTTATTTCTTTTAAAGTGCTATTGAGAAAGACTAAGTATTTTTTCTGGAAAAGAGCCAATTATTGAGCCTATTAGTCTATCAGTGATATCTAAAGCATTAATAAATTATTTATTGACCATCACACAAGCCACTACTTACAGCTTATAGACAACTGACAAACAAGCTCAAAAAGTTACTATGCTACAGGGCCAAAACTTTAAAAAGTGAGCATACTTATGTTACAATAAAAATCTAGCCCGGGCTTTTTCCTAACCATGATGAAATCATTACCCTGGATGTCTAAAAAAAATTTGAATAACCAAATCAAGAACATATTATGTTAAGCATGACATTAAATCACCTCCAGTGACACTGACCATTTTATAATGAATGAAGTAATGAAAAGGGTCCTGAGGATGAGCTGGGAAACTCTTTTAAGACTCAGTCATTGCCTTTTATAGCAGGTGTCAACACCCAGACACCAGATAATTACAGGAGTGCCGACTGGATGGGGGCAGACTCACTGTAACAGGATCCCACCTACTCTACTGCTAAGACTGTAAGACTGACTGACTGACTGAATGCATCAGCAAAAAGCTACCTCTCTATTTACAGCCTTACTTCTGAGAGATGGCATAAAATAATCATAAATGGGTGCTACACAAAAGTTAGACATAATAGTTTAACATATACACCCAGATGTTTCTATCTTTCTGTACCTTTTTGTGTAGGCTCCTCTGCAGTCACCTCCTCCACTGTTTCCTCCGCCTCAATAGAATCTACATCTTGCACCTTGGGTGCCTCCTCCATTGTGGTTTCCACCAGTACATCCTCCACAGGTTCTATTGTGACCTCATGTACATCTGGCTCTATTTCCTGAAGAAGCTCTGGTACTGGTTCAGGCTCTAAAAATCCCACAGGTTCGGCCTCAGATTGTGTCAGGTCTGACTTATTTTCTTCAGGTTCAGAGTGAGTTTGAGACATCTCCTCTGGTTCTGCTTCTGGTTCAGATTCAGCCACTTTAGCTTCCTCCTCTACAACCTCATTCAGGAGAGCTTCCCAGCTCACCTCCTCCTCAGCTGCTTCTTTTGTATCCTCCTGTGTGTTTGCTTGTTCTTCAACTTCTTCAACAGCAGGTTGTTCTTCTTCTGAAGTGTCTTCCTGAGGTTCAGTTACTTCCTCCTCCTCAGGGGTTAATTCTTCAATTTCTTCCTCACCTTTTCCCTCCTTTTCCTCAACCTCAGATGCCACCTCATCCTCTTCAGATGATGCAACATCCTCAGATATTGCTTCCTCATCTTCTTCCTCCACACTTTTGTCCTTCGCTGGCTCTATAACCTCTGCCTCAGTTTCCTCCTTAGATGTTGCCTCTACTGCCTCACTGTGGAAAGCTTCCTCCACCCATTCTTCTTCTACACCATTTGCTATCTCTTCAGTGGAAGCATCCTCACCAGCAGCTGCTTCCTCCTTCTCTTCTGCATGCTCTGAGCTGAAGTCTGGCTCTTCTTCTCCAGCAGCAGCAGCATCTAAGGCTGACAGAGATTTACAGGGCTGACAAATTGCCCTCTCTGGGGCTGGGGTGTCATTGGAAGTGCTCTGGCTGGCATGTTCCTCTGGTGTGTCACATCCACAGGAGAAGACGTCTCCCTCTGGCTTCTGGAGCTGCAGATGCACCAGAGGCTCCTCATCATGGACGGAAGAAACTGCCAGAGGGGGGAAGGAGAAAAAAATATGTGATTAGACAAGATTACCAGTGTCTCTTTTCAGGTATACTTATTCAACAGGTATACTTAAAGGTACATTTTGAGCAATGTTTTACACCAAGAAAAACAAACTGAACTCATCCATGATCAACAAAACATATACACAACAACAGAGGACTGTAGCCCAACTAAGTATGGGAAAGGTTGATAACTGTGTGGTGGAGGCAGTGTGTTAAAGTCAGATTATGTATTTTAATGGCAGTAATTTGGCAAAGTATTAGACCTATGGCAGTTATAGATACTGAAATGCTTCTTTCAAAACAATGTGTACAGTACAGCTGAAGAAAAAAAAAACAAAAAAATGCACTAGAATGTATTTACAACATGATGTCAACTGGACTTTTGTAGTCCAGTCACTGTTGTTAGTTCCATCAGAGCTTGACCAGTGCTCAGCTACTGTGCAAGAACAGAGCAGATCAGATGTTCAGCACCTCCCAAATTTAAGACTCATGTTTCAGCTCTTTGAATAGTGACACTAAGGCACGGACTATTTGAGGCTGACGTGCAGTGGACCGTTGTGAGGAAGATCTAAATTAGGACAGCTGAGTGGGCAGGGTGGCTTTTAATACAGTAAAATAATGTATTTATTGTCATTGTATAGATATATTACTGCTGTCATGTGTTATTTTAAACAATTAAATGTAAATTGAATGTTTAAATGTTTTAAGTTCATGTACAAACACCACTAAACCGAATGTAAACCTGTAAAAAAATATATAGTATAGTATAGAGCTTGACCAGTATAAATGTCTAGTACCAAAATTTTTCTTTTTGCTAATATTAAACATTGCAAAGGACATACAATTATGTTTTGTTACATTTTGTTTCTAATATCTTGCAATAAAATTATAGGTTTAAGACTCCCATCCACAGGGAACATTAATTTCCTGTATGTGCCGATTAACTTAGCCTGTACACTAAGCATTTATTTTTAGTTAATGAGCCATTTCATTGGCGTAACCTTTCCTCAAGAACAAAGCTAATCATTTCTTTTTTCAGGTCAATAAAATGGAGCTTAAGACTTTTTCAAGCTGCTCACACACACAAAAGATCATAAAAAGATAAACATCAGCGATGTTCAGAATCATAGACTATAGTTATTATGGGTTCAAAACAGCCATATCTAAAACAGGGGACACCCTCTGTGTTACACTACATGCATACATGTGCAATACATACTTTTCACAACCGCAGTGTACAACAATCACAAAGCCATGACCTCTGTTTAATTATAACTGCCTGTGAAGAATGCACAGTGTGATATCAGGCAGCTAAACGTATGTCAACAGATCATATTACATAGCCGGATCCGTGTGAGGAATGAAGACTAATAGCTGCAGGCAGCTACCACAGGCTTTACATGTTCATAAGGCTTCTGTACCACTGCCCATCATGAGCTAACAAGCTAATACTAAGGAGGAAGTGAATATTTGTGATGATAGCTTCAGATTCTCTTCCACTGATAAACCTGCAGTAACTGAAAGCAGTTGTGAACACACCATTGACATATCATCACCTTTAAACTTGATGAACCTGTTAGCTGTGTAGGTAAACTCTGGGCAGATAAATTAGTGGTGAGACAACAAGTAAAAGGAGTGATCATGCTGAAATGTATTAAGTTATATAATCCAACAAATCTATTGTGTTTACAGATGTGTGCAGCTGTGAGTTACTTCATATGCACTTGGAATGTGCACTATCAGCAGTAACAGATCTTTTTCTTAGCAAACAATTTTACTTGTTGCAGTAAAGAAAAGTACATGTAAAATTAATAAATATAGAGCTCCAGTCCCAGGGTCCTGGTACTGTGCATGCTGGTTTACTAGTATGTTTCTTTGTCTGAACACATCTGATCCAGGTAATCAGTAGTGGGTAGGGCAGGGATAATTGGAAAACAAGCAGAGCAGTGGAATTGCCCACTCCCGGACTAAGGCCTCTGAATCAGTGTGCACTTCACTAAAAGTGAAACCAAATGACAATTCAGTCTAATTATCAGGCTAGTATCATCACAGATGGAAACACATTGTCTTTGATTTTGAGGAGCACAACACAAAAAACCCAGCATTTTAAATTTAAAAATATCACTTTCTGCTTAAGTAAGATGCTAACATGACATGACAAGTGGTGCTGTGCCAAACACTTCTGAGTCGTGATATGTTTGTATTTTTATCTTGCATGGAGGGCATCTATGGTAGTTGTCCTAACCGATGCTATCAGGACTTTATGTTCTTTCACTCTCCTGCACCATCTATAATGACGGTTCCTATTTCAAGACCTCAGATCACACAACAAACAGTTCTGTTCCCATGATGTTGCTTGTCACCTCTTGTACTGTATCTGGAGGCTTTGTTAGCTTATCACCACCAGAGGTGACAATCGGCATTAGTGACCAGAACATCAAGCATGTATTCCCTGCATGCAGACCATGCAAAAAATCACTTTTGTTCTATAATGTTTCAGGCATTGACACGTTGGCTTCCTTTTATCAACAGTGACAACCAAATGGCAGGTCACTCTGTATTGTAATGCAAACCCAGTCAAATGCTACAAGTCAAATCAGTGGATTTCCAGTGTTTGCCCTGGCCATTGCTAATCACAGTGTTTATGCAGTCTGATTGGCTGAAGAGTTTATGCCACGCATAAAAAATAATCAGAGATAAAGTCCAGCACAAAAGTCACCTGTGTATAAATCAAAGTTGTGCCCTACTGATCTCTATCAAGCTGGATTTGTTTTTTGCATATCATTTTGATAGCTTCAAGGAGATTCACGGACATTAAGTGCTGATTAAGTGACAGTCACATATTTAATGTGTACTCCCTCAGTGTCACTGGCAGAAGTTGAGATATGAGCCATGCCTGCATGGCTCGGAAAATACAGTATGTCTTGGCTAGCCTTAAGTGTTCTGTAAATGTCAGTAATTGAGTGAAACAAATGAGAATGAGATTAGTAGGGGGCAACCTGAGGAGGAAGGTCAGATACTGTTCTAATTGAGCCATGATGGAGGGTCGGATGCTGTCCAAAGACATAGTGTCTGTGTTGTAACATGAACAGCAGCAGCGGCCAGGAGTGTGACTTGTGTTGATGAAGCTGGGATGCCAGCGTTAAAGTGGCATTGCATAAAAAGGTCAGTCCCCACTGACCATTCACTAGTTTGTTAGTGGTTTATTAAATAATGTAAAAGTGCTGAAGGTTCTGTGATTTTGTTCATACTTTCTTAGTTTATGTGGGAATCAGATATTTTTAGGCTACACCATAAAACATAGAGATCAATCCTGTCTTTCAAATAGACACTGCATGCCTTGAGATAGTTATAAAGATAAAACACAACATTTTCTGCTGCACTGCTAAAGTGGCCAGATTAAATTAAAGTTAACATAAGAAGGAAGATGTGTGAGAGAGACATGATTCAGGGGGAGGAAAATATGAGACCGAATACATGTGAGAACAATACTGTGGGGTTTCCAAGACATACTGTATTTTGACAAGATTAGCATTTTTATAGGGAACAGTTTTGACAAATGCACAAAATAATACATTTCTGAATTCACTGGGTAACACAAGGAAGCATTCCAAGGTTCAAGGATTTTATTGTCAATTCACTATATCTGCAGGACATACAGAAAATCAAAATACCTTTTTTTTGCAAATAAACTGAATGGATTACTTTAAAATTGGATACCGATGTTCAGGCCTCCTTTAGAATGAACTGTAAGGTTAGCCTAATAATTTTAGCAATTACTTAGCATTTCTTTTATCACCATCATAAAATTTTTTTTAGGGAATTTTATTATTAAATGTTAGCATGCTAACGAGCTAAATTAAAATGGTGAACATGGTAAACATTAAGCCTTCTTAATACCAGCACATCAGCATGATTATTGTGAACGTTAGCATATTAGTGTAGCATGCTAGCATGTAGCTTAATGACTGACTGAAGAACTGCAAACATACCTGTAGGCTCTCTTGTTATCTTACATGTAAATATATTTCATATGAAAGTACTGTACGTACAGGCCAAACTGTGGTGCAGTCATGGACACCAGATACCCTGATGACCACATACTCCTTTATACTTTGGAATCTACAATTTTAGTTATGCTGCATTATATATGAGAAATTAATAAATAATATTTTTAAAACTAGTGCTTTTTTAACCTTCATACTGAAGGATTAAGATTAAAAACATCTTCACGCAGTATTCCAGGGTGTCAGTAATTGAAAGAGTTTTGTATCCTTTTCAGCCAACATCTTTTGTTTGAGTAGTGACAGTGACACAGTGGCTAATCCCATACCCTGTTGTAATTCTGGACAGTCTGTGTCTTATTGCCCTGTTTTGGTTTCTACTAACTCCAAAGGAAAACAGCTGGCTGGAGCTGTGGCCACCTATGCAATGCACTGGTACACATCTCTGTAAGACTTTTGGAAATGCACAGACATCTACGTCATGTACATCTATGGCATTTTTTGACACAGCAAGAGCTAGCTGCATCAAACAAACAAACAAGCAAACCAACAAACAAACAAAACAAGGTACCATTTATTTAGAGTTATTGGTGCAGTGCAAAGATATTGTATCATCATCAAAATACATATACTGTAATGTGTCCCAGGTACATCTCTGAGACAGAAATAGTCCCACAGTGAGTCAGAGGGTGAAAGGGAAACAGGGATAATTCCACCCCTATTAACAGAAACTGTGATGCTCTTGTCCTCCCTGAGAGCGTCATGTGGCCGGCCTGCGACCGCTGCACTATTGCTCCCATTCCCTGCAACATTGTGCAGCTGCATGTGACTCAGAATCACGTTTAGACCAAGAACAATAAATGCATCAGCACTAGGAGTGATGGCTTTACTGTGTTACTAGAAGATATTCGCCTCAGTAAATGCTGATGCACTTAAATACATAAAATGTCTTTTTTGAGTAATCAGTGTCTGAAACTGAAGTTGTCAGGAACACAAACAGGCAGTCAGCAGAGTGGTTCTACAATTATAGCTCATAAAATAAAAAAAAGTCAGCAGCTGTCTCAGCATCCATTGCAGTTATTTGAGGCAATTTAACCTAAGGCAAATGGTGTGTGTTTTAATTTATTAATCAGCTTAACATGTTTGAGCTCTACTTATGATGGACATACTGCAGTTGAAGGACTTTTTGTTTTTGAGTAGACATGCACAGACATACTCTTTTTCTCTTGCTCTTCCTATTTTATCTCATCATTGTGTTTGCCATTTTGTCTAATCTCACACTTTCCAAGACACAACACACAACAATCTAAACAGGAGGTATGGGAGTGTTCCACTTGAGCTCTGACATTATTACATGGATCTCCACAGTACCTGAATATTTAGTTATGTAATTGTAAAAGACCAGTTGTTGGGCTACTGTACTCTGGTCCTACATGCCCTCTGCTGAGCCCTCATGCCTGTTTTAGCTGGGACAGCCCCTGGACATGGACCCTGCTGACTGAAATGTCAGATTAGCAGCTCTCCAGACTGAGCAGGGTGGGAGTGATGAGAGTTTGCTGAGAGACATTAAATGCAGCACTGACTTTTGCTGTAGACATGGAGTCCTTCTGTACTCAGGCATGATTTTATGATTGCCTTGTAATGTCAAGGAAGTGAGTGAAACTTTATGTGTGTGTGTGTGTGTGTGTGTGTGTGTGTGTGTGTGGCGCTATATGACGTAGATGTCTGTGCATTCCCAACAATCTTACAGAGATGTGTATCAGTGCATTGCATAAGTGACCACAGTATCTGGTGACTCCGTTTGACACCTGACGGCGGCAACTTGCGGGGACCAAAACGAACCAGTGCAAGGACAGACAAGAGTGTTCTCAGCCTCAACTTTAACAAAATATTACAAGTTTCTTAATTACAAGAACATATAAACAAGCTGAAACAAATAGAGCAACAGTTGTGATAATCCTTTATACTTTAATTATGCCTCATTAATGACACAGTTTAGTCTCTTATTTACTCAGATTGGAAAGATCAGCCTGAAAAACCTCAAACAAATATAAAATTCCAAACTCCTGACTTGATGACAGACTAGTGGAGCTGCATGCGACTGCTGTGATAAGACTCAAACTGTGAAGGATCCAGTGGGAAAAGGATTCATCTGCTGGGCTCCACATTTGGCTGCAGCACAAAGTGTGACTGTAATGAGTCCAAATCACTCTGTCAGTGCTGTCACACTGTGTGCATCTTCAGGACAGAGAGAACAAGCAGTAGACAGTTTCCATCAGCTGGTGTCACACCTCTGCTCTGACATTCTCGCTTGTAAAACCACAAACCTCTGCACTGCACCACAATAACACACTTTCCTGCTCAATCAGCCATGTTTATATACAGTATACTGTGGGGTCTATACATACATGTCAAAATGTAAACATATGTCAACACAACTCATCATATTAGGCCACAGAATACAGAAAAGAGGAACTGTTTTCATGCAGATTTGAAAAATCTAATCTGAGAATACAACTCTCACCTTTGGCCCCATTTACTTAAAACCTCAAACTTGCACTCAGCTTGGACTCATTTAGCAGCATTTCAGACTGATTAAATCAGATAACTCACACAAATCATGCACGTCCCTTCATTAAGGACTGACAAAATCACTGCCGACAGTCAAATCTCAGCAAGACATACAAAGCTCTGATATGGTCAGAGACACAGAACAAATGCATATGCAGCTTTCCTAATGCAAAGGAACAGCGTTCCCATTTCATGCACCCTACTGGTTAAATATCTCCCTAAATACAAAGTGAAAATATTTCCTCCAAACCCCATCACCCTCCAGCATACCTGCAGCAGACAGGGCCAGCAGAGACACCAAGCAGCACATGCACACTGAGGACTTCATTTTGGCTGCCAGGGGCCTTCCACTCACCTCCCCAGCTATATATACTGCTTTGGCTGAAGGTCAAAGGCTATTCCGGTAGAGGTGGGGCGCAGCAGCTGCAGCCATTATGTGTCAGAACAGCTGCCTGGTCTGGTCAGGAAAAAGCAGCAGGAGACCAACTGGCCATGTTACAGTCTTGTAGTTTTAATTGTTGATATGCTTAAATAAGAATATTCAAAAGGTTTTGATGAGCACATGTGCAACTTTTACTTTGGAGTTATCAGCGCCATTCATTACTCTCAACTTTTTATATGAAATATTTCTGTAAACTGACATTTCTCACTGTTGAAGCTCTAGTGACTGTACTCATACTGAGATTAAAATGAAGCCTGTGTTCCACCTGTTAGAAATCTCTCCCAGTGCTGCTGCCAAATCAGGAGTCACTCAGTGTCACCACCTGGTGGACAGAAAGGGTCATAGGTATAAGTGAAGTAACTAGCAGACAGAAGTGGTGTAATTTAAAAAAGTACAAATTTTATTTTTTTTTAGTCTTTACAAAGGCCTGTTTACCCAAGTTTTTTTTATAAACAAAATATAACAGCTTCTCATCATCCTGGATCAAAGAAAACAAAACAAAAAAAAAATTTCACACAAAAATGTATAAAAAAAGTGTCCCTGAAAAATGGAAAACAGGACAAAAAAAAGAAATGCAAAGACAGAACACAAATGGATATTAAACTGTGCCACAGCAAAGAGCTTTAAAAAAAAATCAGCGATTCAGGCAGTACAGAACAGTAAGTGCTTCATATCAAATATCTCAAATTCCACCAAAGACAGCAGTGCTCAAACACAATGTACATAAACATCTGGGGGCAAAGTGTTTCCCTGACCAATAACAAACCTCGGCCTGAGCTGTGGCTTCATATTTGTCAGCCCGGACACCAAACCCTCTAACAAAGCTTCACAAACAAAACAAAAGAAGTCCCCTCCCCCATGTTTGACATGAAAACACAAGTCTGACCAGGTATAAAACTGATGTCGGTGAGTGAATCGGGTCTATGCATCTCAGACTGAACCCATCAATCATGTGCTCAGGAAGAAAGGAAACTGCCATAAAAAAAAAAAGTATCAAAACAAAAGCCCACCTTAGATGAGAGAAACAGCAATTAGTAACATGCATTCACTTGGCAGCAGAACACATAAGACATCAAAAGACAGATACTAATCCAAATAGAGAGGAATGTTTACAGCATCAAGGCAGCGTATCAAACTGAGTCTGAGAGCAGAGTGGCTCCAAGCAGGGATTTCCAGTTAAATTCTCGGGAGGAATCGAAGCGGCGTAACATGAGGTGGACAGATTTGGTGTGTTGTTATAGAGTCGGGGACTGTGAGGGAAGATATGTTCAGCTCAGAGACTGATTTTCAGTCTCACTGAGAACTTTCTGTGGCATCTGATGCATTAAAAAAAAAACCTCATCAACCTTTCATTGCATATGTAGTTTTCCAAAGTAAAGCTGCTTATTCTCTTTGAGTTCTTTTTTTCAGTTCACAAAACAATGGTTTTGGGAGACAGGCTTCAGTAAGATGTGGCTCTGCTGCGTTCTGAATGTTACTTTCCCATGTATCACAGGGAGATAAAACAAAGTGTGCTGCCACCTGTAATTAAACAATCTAAGTAAAAATCACAAATAACATTTCCCAAAAATTTCAGGAAACAAGATTCATATTTAACAAGATGAAGTTACATGTAGGGTTTTGGCTGCGGCTCAATGCTCGTCAGCAGAGCACCAGGTTGACAAAGAGCACCTTGCAAAGTAGAGACTACATTCTTTGATATAAGCAAGTCAAGTTTCATACAGACACTGTAGGTGTAACGGCCACACCTATCGACGGTGCATAGATAACTTCACCTCATGTATAAATGACACAAAATAGATGTACTAGAGATGGAATTGCATAAATACTAAAAACTCTAGTGCATAGTTTGAAATCAACAAATCAGACCAGAAGACGAGACCCAAGTCTTTGGAGGACGACGGGAAGATTTCATGCTCAATTAGCACGTGAACCTAAATGTTTCAGATTTTCACACTGATTCAGTCAAACTGAGATTAATCAAGAGTTAAGAACAATGATAACCATGTTTTCAGGCAAACAGCCAACATTTGGTTCCTTTTTTTGTGTGTTAAATCAGGGATGAAAACATCCGCCAGCGGAAAACAAAAGAATGGGCCTGACGCCAATCGGCCCAAAAGTAAAACCAAGGATTTATGAAATTCATCTCAAGTCCTCCAGTTCCTGTCAAAAACTGCAAATTTATGTCAATCTCAATATAATACAATGTTCACCTTCAACATTCAGTAACCCTGACAAGGTAAATGTTAACTAAAACATAAAAAACATTAACAAAAAGCCAAAAAAAAAAAAAAAATCTATGTAAATTGTTCAGCTTATTTTCAATTAAGGGCTTATTAAAATACTTAAAAAAAAATATTGCCAGCATGCCAGGGATGACTGGTGACTGTGATACAGCAACCATATGTAGCAAAAACAAACACACAAAGGACGGACTGCTGCAGAGAACCTTTTACATGAGACTCTTAAGTTTTCAAGTAGCCACACACCGGCTCTGACTGATCCCACACGGCCCCCTCTGCAAGTCACCATCCTATGTTTTCAATTTTTTTAGAGATTCTACAGTACATGACTGACACTGAGCTTAACCACTGGATGCACGAGTCTGGATAATGCCAAAGAAAGATTAAAAAAAAAAGTAGTCAAGCTCTAATCTTACAGTGAGTAGGTATTTCTAAGTGTGTGTAAGTTTGAGGGATGGATCAGTTCATCGAGCAGTCCTCCCCATCTGTGTCGGTGTTCGTGTCCGAGCAGGTGGTGTCCATGGCGACATGGGTGGGGCTGACGATGACCGCTCGTCTCTGCTCCTCCTCAGTGCTGGCTCTCCTCTCCTGAGCGCGTTCGATGTGCTGGATGGCCTGAGAGGAGAGTATGAAAAGCAACTGTTGCAGCAAGTTCTTAGATGAAGAAGAAATGCTTTTATCCATCACATGGCGTCTCCAGACTGATTGTTTAGGAGTCCTTGGAACGTTTACCTGCACGATGGTGTCCAGGTTCTGTCTGGACGTGGACGCAGTGCTGGTGTGGGCAGACGGACTCATGGTCACCACAGTGATGTGATGCTGCCCGTGCTGGGTTAGTGTCGGAGCTGGGACGATGACTGTGGGGTGGTAAGTTGGGGCAGGGGGAGTGGGAGGAGCCAACACCTGAAGGACAGACAAAATGCGACAAGATGAAATAAAAAAAAAAAAGAAACGTTCATTACATGAGACTGTGTATTTGCATACGACTGACAAGCTCAAGACAAGACGGCTTGAGCGAACAGCAGCGCAGACGCCTACCATCTTCTCTGTGTGTTGTTGTGGGTCTAACCTGTGGACTGTGCGTTTGTCGGTCAGCAGCTTGGAACTGCTGCAGCCGTAACAACGTCTGGCTCTGAATGAACGCCTGCTCTTCCTCCACCTGCTGGGCGATCACTTTGTGGCGCTCTGGGTGCAGCTGGGTGTCCAGGGAGCGCACCTGCACACCAGCACACAGAGGACACAGGTGTGGCTTTATTACAAACACCACCATTGCAGCACAAACTTAAGACCAGCTCACACACATCAAAGGTCTACAGATCACTGAGCAAATACAGCAATGGAGAAAAGTAGCTTCACCATAATTAGAAGAAATGCTGTTATTACAAGAAGTGTAAATGAATGGTGATGTGAACGATTCACATTAGATCAACCAATTCAACTGCTAAGTAACAGCTGCAGAAAACATAAGTGTTATGTCTTCGAGGGTCTGAAAAATTATGTCAACAGTTACCTTAGATTGATCTTGAGACTTCAACATGTTTACAAAAAGCCTGAGTTACAAACCAGGAAATACAGGTCCAACAAAAGATTATCTGTTTCTTGTCAATCACCTAAGTTAGTGCGATGCCAAATAACTGGAATTAGCCTTGAATGTATAGTAACATTTATGTTATCACTGCCCAATTTTATTTCCTATTTAATTTTATGAACAATTAAGCAGTCTTTACTTCCTATTATGAGATTAATCATTGTGTACCGTGCAATGGCTGAAGTCTGAAATTCTGCCCAGCAGAATTTCAGACTGTTGGACACCTCGCCCCTACATCTCCCCTAATGTTTACTTTGCTATTTCGCTTCCTGTTGAAGTTTTTGTTTGTCTTCACTAACTGCTCAGGCTCCTTTGTCTCAACCTGCTGTTCAGGTTCCTTATCAGGAACTGGTCGGTGTACTGGTAAACTGGTCACACCACCAGCAACCTGTTTGTTAAAGTGACTGATAGTAACAGGGTTTCTGGAGACTTCATTAAGTTATATTTTAAGACACAAATTGAAATATATTTTTACATTCATAGCCTGAGGAAGCATCAAACACCTATGTTATCACGCACACCGATCGTACCACTGACCCACCACTTGTAGAAAGTGGCAGGGGCGCACTGCCTGTGCAACGGTCCAACTGACTTTACCCACCCTCAATAACACCTGTGACACAATGACAAATAAATTATAAAACAAACAGACACACCCCATCATTTTTAGCAAGAAGTGAGTTGTGGTTCAGACAGGTAATTACAGATTATAGATGTTTAGGCAGATATGTTTTGGAATCTTTTACCTCAAATTCTGTTTTCTGGAACACATTTACATTTATGTTGTGCTTTTTTTTATTAGATTCTGCTAAGTAGCCTACCTCTGGGCTTTCAAGTTCTGTGCATAGTATTAATCAAGACTGTAACTGTTTGAGCACACAAATCCATCCAATCCCCCTATTTCACTCTGACAGAAAATATGAATGATATGAGTAAGCTGAAGTGAAGAAGTTGAATATAAATACCTCCTGTCAAAGCCCAAAGGGTTTTCAGAGACAGACTCAAACCTGAATCACAACAAAAGTTACTTGCAGCTGACGCTATACGCCTCAAACAAATCCAACTACATTCCCTGGTGTCAAACACCTAATTCCTTTCCTTCCACTTTTGTTATTTGCTGTTGAAAATCGCAAACCGATGCTTACAAGACCACATAGGTGAAATCACCACAGCTGAAAACGGCACTGTGTGATGCAAAATTTCCGACAATCCGTTGTGTCTGCTTACTTAGCCATCGCTGTTAACCATCAATGCTGCATAGAGGTATTGAACGGCTGTCCCATTTTGTAGGGGAAGATTTCAACCACTGCCAGGGAGCACTTAAATACAAGGAGTAGGGGTAAAAAAACATAGGAAATGGGACTGGGCCTTGCTGAGGTCTTGAGGAGCTCTCGATGTCAATGCTAATATTTGATGGCAGGTGTTGTAACAGCAGCTTTGCATTTTCTTGTACACGGTGCAGCGGGCTCAGAGTTCATTGTGTTTTTCAGGCTTCAGTTGAGAACAGGATGCCCTTTCTTCAGTTTGGGTTTCATTAAACTTGCACTTCCCCATATGCAGATAAAGAAATAAAAACAACCACTGATAGAAGACACACTGCATTATCTTACACACCAACTACAGTTAGTGCTAGGTATCAAACTTTGGTACTTTTTGGCATCCATCGAATTACTGCAATCCATTGAGTATCCAAAATGCTTTTCTACATATTTATTTATTGATGTTAATGTTAACAGAACTTAAGATTGTGGTTAATTTACTGTTAAAATAATCAACTTAACTAAAGCATGATACATTTTTAAGATCTACCAAAATCATATTTAAGACCTTTTTAAGACTTCTTAGGCCTAAGCTTCAGACTGTTGGATTTTAGATTTTATAAGGACCTGTGGAAACCTGTATGGTCATCGCAGATCACTTCGTTCATGAGCAACATTTAGTTTCATTTGGCTAAGATTTAGATAGCAGGTGTTTCAAATCCTAATAGAAAATTAACACTGATATGCTGTAAGCATGAAGTAGAAAAGTTAAATATCTGAGAATGAATAGTTAAATCTAATGACTCCTGCATTACTGGAATAAATGTTAAGAACCTTTTGACAGCAGATGAGCTGTGTAAAGAACCTTGAACAGGATATGAGTGATGAAGAACCTAGAACCTGGCTGCTCATCTCACCTGCTCCTCCAGCTGCATTCGAGCCGAGCGCTCCTTGTCCAGTTGCTGTCGCAGCTCTAACATCTCTCTCCTCAGCTCCTCGACCTTCTCCTCCTCCAGTGTGTCTGGAGAGCCAATCCCTTCATCCTTCTCCTCTGCTCGCCTCCTCTTCGGTGACGAACCATTGAACTCCTGTAATAACATGAAGACCACGGAAAGTTAAATATGAAGCAGTCTTCACACAGGCTGTGTAATTTTGCCTGAGCCCCCCTCCACGGTGCTGGCACCAGCTGCCCCATGGAAATTGATTTTTTAACACCTTTGATACAGGGTCTGAAAGCAGCCTTAGAGTAAGGTACACAGGGTCTGTCCATGGGCAGAGACACACCAAGCCCACACACATAGTTGACCGTTGATGAGCGTCTATCAGGGCTCGTCTTCCTGGTGCGTTACCACTAGTCGGCCTCTGTTGGCAGCTTTTTGGTCGATTCAACATGTTGAATCGGCGTCAGTCCGTTGGGCTTCATTGATAAGAGAATCTGATTAGCTGTTGAGCTTAGCGAATCAATGCATGAGAAAAGAACAGTTCAGGAAAGCCCCTTGCTTGTCGCTGTACCATCCATGATTCCACCTATTTAGTGCAGTTTTTCCTTGTTTTTCACCTCCATTACCTTCTTTCTTCTCCCGCAACCAAGAGACCAAGGGCAGAGAATGTCAGTGTCATTTGTAGATTCGTATCAGACATATTCTCAATTAGAATCAGCTATAAACAGCAGCTGTTCTAAACAAGAGGTGCTTTGTTTATAGCTTATACTTCTGCAGTCCAGCTCACTTTTCCCTTTCTGAATGGTAAATACAGATACCAGTCACCTAATGGTAGGGGAACATATTTCTATCACACAGGGGCAAAATGTACGTGCTCGTCAGCCATTGGCTGTAGTCTGCGTGGTGTGCTCAAGTGTCACTTTTTCAACCCGACTGGCCCAGACAAATCCGAAGTTAGACAACAAAAAGGTAGGCCTTCACCACTGCTACTTCTTTCACTTTGGCTTGGTCTGTCTCTGCCCTAAAACAACTTGTACTGCCATTTAAGCCATGTGGTTTCATCCACATGTAGCTGGACTCAATTATAATAATCACCTTTATTTGGCCAAGTATGTTACAGACAAGGAATTTGTTTTCGGTACAGAACCGCGGCAGCCATCTATGGCACCAACTCAACCAATGGCTCTAACCAGTGAGGGCAACTTGGGGGTTCAGTGTCTTGCCCAAGGACACTTTGAGATTTGAACCTCCGACCTTCCAGTGGCGAAACAACTGCTCTACCCACTGAACCACAGTCACCCACAAAACACAGTCGCAAAACAATGGCACATGCTTTTACCTGGATGAAGCGTTTGAGCTGGTTGTTCTGTGCCAGGAGCTGTGTTTTCTCCTGCTCCAAGGTGAAGATGTAGTCGGCAGTCTGCTGCAAGATGGCTGCCTGGCAGGGATGAAACCAAAAGGTGAATTCAGGAAACAGTGCATGGACACATGATGGACCATGCTCACAAAACTAATGCTGAAACAGACATTCATTTAAAGCTGCTTCCTGGCATGTCACGATCTACAACTTGACAAGCGAGCTCTTTTCTCTGTGTCTGTTTATGCATGTTTGTTGCACCTTGCTGAGTTTCTCTCCATCTGTGTGAGGCAAGAGAGTCTTGAGGGACTGGAAGCCTGCGTTGATGCTCTGCATGCGCCGGCGCTCATTGCTGTTGGCAATCTCTCGGCGGATTCGCCTCTCCTGGTCCTGGGCCGTCTCGGGACTGAGCGGGATGTTGGCCAGGCTAAGGGAGAACAGTCAGAGAAGACAGTCATCATTCTGTCCACAAAGACACTGTGTCTAACAAGGCTGCATAAAACATGAATCTGAAAACCTTTATTGTCATTGTGCTATGCAAAAATATACCCAAATTTAATTCTGCCCCATTGTGCACTCAAATCCAGGACCACACACCCAATAGTCACCTTCACACATTCTTCCATTCACTGAGCTCAAGCAATACAAAAATAAATAGATCAATGAATAAACAGATAAAAGAAATAAATAGATAAAAAATAAGGTGCTTCTAGAGATTGCTCTGATAAATACTGCACAAAAATGAAATTACATAATATGTAAATTGTAGGTCATAATGCTTATTGTTTAGTATGTCTGTGCTGGTTTAAAGTACAGATTGCCTGAGAAAAGAAACTGTTCTCAAGTCTGTTTGTTCTAGTTTTAAGTGAACTACGTAGCACCTGCCAGAAGGCAACAGGTCAGACAGGTAACATCCAGGGTGTGAGCTGTCTTTAGTGATGTTTACTACTCTGGACAGGTAGTGGGTCTTGGCGATGCCTTCTAGGGAAGGTAGAGAACAGCCTATGATTTTCTGTGCAGTTTTAATGATGTGCTGTAGAACCTTTTTGTCTGCAACTGAGCAGCCTGCACACTATACTGAGAAACGGTATGACAGCAGACTTTCTATGGAGGAGTGGTAGAAGATGACCAACAGCTTTCCTTCAGCCCCTGCTGAGCTTTATTTACTATTGCTGTGGTGTTTGCAGACCATGTCATACTGTCAGTTATGTGGGTTCCTAAGAATTTGAAGGTGTGAACCCTTTCCCACACAGTCCCTGCTGATTTATAGTGGGAGGGGGTCTGCTCTGCTCTTCCTGTAGTCAATAATGACTTCTTTGGTTTTTTGGTGCTCAGTGTCAGGTTGTTTACTGAGCAGCATGTTGACAGTTTCTGGACCTCATCCACGTGTCAACATCATTAAATGTCTTATTTTGTGTAAAAAGTAAGTGACAGATTCAGCTCTACAGCTATCAACACACACCTCTGACACAAATCTGCAATTCTGGCTTAAAGAAATAAAACTGACACAGCAGCAATAAAATTTACAATGCTCCGAAATCTCAGACACCATAAACCTTTAACCTTGAACTTTACCAGGCATTAGTCCTGACCTCTCTACATTCCTTAGACAAGCTTCGTGGAGGTCTTTGGGTTTAGCTGAACTCGGTGCCCCTCGCACCTCAAAAAACCTCCTCTGCCACATTTATTCAGAGAGAAAATGGGCGAACCATTAAGGGTAAAGATGATTATAGTGCCAGGAAGACAACAAACCAAAAGAAACAGATCAGGTCAGGAGGAGGACACAGATAATGTGGTTCTAAACTGTGCAGACAACAGAACATTAAGCTCTAATACAATGGCAAAATCATGGCCATGCTAAGTTGCTAATGTTACTAAAACAAATACATTAGCTTTAGATCCTAACACAGCCACAAGGAAGAACACCACATGGAGGGGGGTGTAGGACAGCTGAGAAACACTATTTTAACAATGTATAACATCTTAAGTGCTAGATGTATTTTGCACATACCCTGGTGTGTACATGGACACAGACCAAGGACCCACATGTGTTCCTATTCATACTTTAAATTGACGGTCTGCCTTCCATCCATGAAGAGAGCAGCTTGAACCACAAAACACAAGGAATAACCAGCAGACCAATGAAAACTGTCCTCTGGTCTGATTATGCCAAATCTGACATCTTTGTTTTAAAGTGCTGTGTCTTTGTGAGGCACAGAGAGGGTGAACAGATGGTATCTGTGTGTGTGGATCCCCTAGTGGAGCATGGAGGAGGAGGTGTGGTGGTGCTTTGCTAGTGACACTGTTGGGAGTTTTATTCAGAAATCCTGTGTGGTGGGCTGGGATGAGTTAGATTGCAGGATGAAGGAAGAACAGCTAAAAATGTTATTATAGTAAAACAAAAGGTGGCTACTTTGAAGAATCTCAAGATTAAAAAAACACCATTTGCTTACTACATAATTACATATGTATTATTAAAGTTTTGATGTTTTCAATACAACAGTATTGTATAACAGAAAAAACACTGACTACCTAAACTTTTGTTTTGGTTGGTACAAAGCACACATGGATCTATAGTAGCTAGCCTACACATTTCTATCCTTTTGTAAAATCCCAGGCGTGGATATTTCTTTAGGGATGATTACAGTACTGGCATAAATCTGACATTCAGCACAGAAAACAAGTACATCTGTCCCGGAAAGCCGAAACCTGGGTTTTCTAAAATATGGAGATGAAATCAGCTGTTAACAGCTGTGCTGCCAGGAGCTGCGAACTTCCAACATGGCTGCCGGAGTGCACGTCTGGGCGGTAGCAGCAGTGAAATGCAACTCCGCTACAGCAGGGCCCCTGGCACCACGGAGAACAATGCGTTCTATCGTAAGCACTGGGCTACAACTTAATTATTAACTCTCCACTGTGACATACACGTGTGTGTTTGCCGTTACACTGATAAGACGAGGCATTTCATGTAAACATGCTAATGCCTGTGAGTAAGGACAGATCAATACACACACTGGACGGTAAATAAAGAGTGCGCAGAGACGGCTAACTAGTTAGCCAAGCTAAGCTAACCTCAGCGCACGACACACTGCTCCGCGGAGCATTACCTATCCATGCATATACAATAGCCGAGACCCATTTTTTCGTTCTGTTATTTAATACATTAATGAATAAATAACACATGTAAGTAATTCTGTGAAAACAGTAAATGGCGAAATAAAGCAGGCTGTCACAAACGTAATTTGGTGTATAGCAGTGAGGCGACGGGGAGCACACTAATTACCACGTGGTTGGTGTTAAACTGGACGCAAAAGTATCGACTTCGTCTAACGTTAACTGGTGAATATTACTGTGGTGCATGGTCATAAACATGTTTCGTACGTTATTACATGTAATTCGGCCAGCAAATGTAATAACACACACAGATTAAATGCTGTTCTATATCCCTACTACCAACTGCAGCAGCTTGGCACAACGAGCTGCTAATATGACGTTATACAACCACGCTTCTGCTGCCTGTGTACGGTAGCGAAGCTAACAGCTAGGATGCTAACTGAAGTCACACACATACGCACGCTACAGTCACATGAAAGATGATTTGTGCGAGCAGTCTGGCATCAACAGAAGTAGTCACGCACCTGCAGAGACCTCCTATAACATCCTTCTCCGTCTTCTTGAACTGCTGTAAGGACGGTATCTTTTCTGTCGGCATCATGAAATATTCCATGCTTTCAAAGCCACCTTCTGTAGTCCGTGTTTGCTGGTTTTTCTCCCTCCACTGCTCCTCTCGTTAAAATACAGTGATGTTCTCTTTTTTATTTAACCGCAGAGCTCTCGCTGCACTCTCAGTCGCGCACAGACAATACCGCTGCAAAATGTGAAGACTTGTTTAGAAAAACAAAAGTTAAACCTGTCTCTTCTCACAGCTGATGGAGTTCCCTCCTGTGTCTGTGTGTGTGTGTGTGTGTGTGTGAGAGACTGTCTCCACCTACTACGGTGTGTGTGTGTGTGCAGCTGATCTGTGTGAGGCGGGAAACAGCTGGTTGGAATCAGCGCCGTTTTCCGGAAAGCAGAACAAACAGACCAGTAAGTCTCTGAATCACTCAGACCCTCGGAGAAAATGTAAGCAGTAGGCAGTAAATAAACATACCACATACTAATAACAACATATCAGCGAGATTAAGAAATCGGGAGGAACAAATCAGAACCAACAAACATTAGTGGATGACATAATATTATGTGTATTGGGTCATGTATCAGGTGATGTGGTACTGCATGTAGCTGCATGCACAGTTAAATTACAGTCCAGGGGCGGATCCAAACAAATTTGGATGGGGTGGCCCAGTTATAGCACAGACTCAGAAAGGGGAGGCACATTTGAAATACATGTAAAAAGTAAACCCCTAGTTTTATGAAATTTTAAACCATATGAATCAAATGGTTTGTACTGTGTAAAAATGAGACCTAGTGTTTTCTTTAGCTAACTTTGGCTGTGCTGCTTATTTACTCTCAGCTGGGGACATTGCTGCTCTTATGACCAAATTACAAACTGGTTACATGACTGCTTCATGTCCCACTTCCTGCACACTCTACCCAGAGCTCCCCCCCTTGCATAATCCAAACCGATTATTTCCAGTAGGTGAGAACACATCTGACATGGGCACATCTGTTGTGTGATACATGTATGAAAGGGCAACTCTGGACAAAGTTCTGGCCTGATACCATGGACATAGTCTGTAGTTTATGTTTCAAAAGGGCTAGAGAAAGTAATGCAAATATCATGCTGCATGAATGATATAAAATAAAACTGACCAATATTACTTATGAAGCACCAGAAAAAGGTTTGTTGTATTTAAGGCAATAATTCCTCATTGCTTTTCAGTTCTCTTAAGCCCAAGTCATTGTCTTCTAAAGAAGCTGTGAAATGTTTGAAAATTAGCTTCAATGATTAATGGCTAATCAAAATACTGTAACTGCCAGTTAAATCTACTGTCAGTTGAACAAATTAATTAATTGACTACCATCCAGGCAACGTAGAAAACTGCAGTGTGTCCTCAAGGGCTGCAAAGACTCCAAATTTACCATGATGCAATTAATTAGTGGTAATTTAATTAGTCTTTTTCTCCACCACTAAACCATATTATAAACTGAACTAGGAGAACTAAGGCAACACTTGCACTTATCACTGTCCCTAATCCTGAGGCCCTTACTTATATGAGGGGCCTCAAGTTAAATATTAAGCTAATATGGTGCCTTTTACAAATAAACTGGTGCTTAGGAGGCTTTTTTCATAGCAGGATTTTCAACCTGTCATACAAGGAAAAGCTCAGGTGTTAACATTAACAGTGGCTCTGTTCTGTCCAAGTGTCCCATTGAGTCATGACAGTGTGATAATGAGCCAGCATGCACGATATCAGCTCAATGGAACTGAACCATCAGTCATTTTAATATTTACTTATTGTGACAAATAAAAAAATGTCTTCTGTGAGAAGGGGAATTTAAGTTACCAAAGTAATCTCTGATCACTAACAAATACATAGACAACACACACAGAGTGGAAGAGCCAGGGAGCGCTGGCAAAACAATAAGTCAGTTAACTGAAATAACCACTCGCTTTAGTTACAGCAGTAGGCCATACAGTTGTTTCTGCAGCTGCAGTGTATTGTTTTCATTCAAAGCATTTGTAACATGTTCAATGTAAACTGCCCAATAAAGTACAGCAAGTGGCAGTAATGCATCCCAACTTTAATTTCCAAAAACGATTAAATAGAAAACCTGTTTGAATGTCTAAACACTAAAAATCATAAGTAGCTGTAAGTGAAACTGAACATTCTCAACAGAAAGGGAACTAAATTGACAGTAAAATAATTATTTTCTGGTGTTTATTGTGAACAGACACCACACAAAGGGCAAATACAGCTCAGACCTGTTGGTGTAGATGAAAAGACCACAGAACCACTGAGGGACTACAAACTGACAGTTACATCTGCAACATAACATGTGGGTTTCTATATACAGCAGAGCAAATGTAGAGAATCTCTTTATCATAGGTTCTCTGTGAACGTACGAGCTGCTGCCTTTGCCAGCGTGTTACCATTAACAAACACCCACAAAAGCCGTTTACAGCTTAGAAAAAGTCTTGTCACAAAAATGTGCTGTTTAGTAAGGTATTAACCACAGCTGGTGTTCCTGAACAGGATTTTGTGCTCATACTCCTGTGATGCGAAGCACTGCTAAAGAGTTCACATAGGCTTCATTAACATCAAACACATACAGATCTAGACACGTATTTCTTAGCCCACATGCTCACTTCCACCAGCATCATTGCTCTCTTTGATTTTAATGACTTAATGTTCAGAATTGTGCAGGTCAGGCCATCACCATGAGAATATGTACTCATCTAAAGATAGGTGTGTCACAAAGATATTCTCAAATCTGCCTAAATGCACTTTGTCCTTTAAGGTAAGCCAACACACCTGGAGAAGTGTTTCTTTGGTTTTTATTTTTGTCCATGCAATAACTTTGCTACACAGTCATAAAAACAACAAAAAACTAATAAAAAATATGTATATAGCATGTAATGAGATATTTGGGCCTTCACCAGTTTTTCCCATATATTGTTAACACAAAGCAAAATATTGTGTGTTTCTCCTTTCACCACAAAATGCAACAGGAATCATACAAACCTCATAGTAGGCTGCTCTTCATACAAGAAACACAACATATCCTACCTACACTCCCCTATGTAAGTGTAGTGAATCGTCACTTGCAGCTTGTCCACAAAGAAAGCACCAATTGGATAATACAGGTCCACTTAAGAAATTCTTGATAAGACCCATTTTCAGTGGTGAGTGCAGCTCTACGTTTAGCATCAAATTATTCTAAAATTAAAATAAAGCATTTAAAAGCGAAGACAGTGGGCTTAATGCTGCAGATGAGTAGCCCCAAACAGTAGCTACCGTACATATTCATAGATTCATTACATCTTTAAAGCCTGCATTCTTAGAAAAGGTGAACAGCATAAAGACATGCAAAGTCAATATAATTACATGTACGACCTCATCCAGGCCTTTCCTTTGGCAAACAGGAACTTGGAATGATCGAAAATTAAGAATACAGATTTAACATAGCTGACAAATAAAAAGTAGTGAAGGGGAAAGCGTGGCATGGCATCCAAACAACAAAAGCATTGAAATCGCTTTTCAAGTATGACTGTCAGTCCCATGTAGTGCCCATAGACAGCCTTTTAATCCCACACACCTGAAGCTCTTTAAAACCTCATATTATAAACCTTAATGTAGGTATGACTATCCTTCATCTGTAACATGTTTTGAGATGTCATCTTGAAGACCCAGACAGCTGATACTGTTGCTTCATCGAAATGCAAAGATTACTGGGCTGATGAGGCGCCCCCTGCTGGCACTGATGGTCTGGTCCTCTTAGCAGCAGATTCCTCTACAGCAAAAGTGTAGTTATACTGAAAACACAAACACAAACACACACACACAAGAAAGTGAGAATATTCTTTCTTAGGAAATAAAAATATGTAGACAATTTTGATGTAAGAGTGACATAACTGAAATTAAAAGTCAGATGTGAACAAACCTCGTTTTCAATGTCTTGGACAGACTTTATACGGATACTGTTTAACTGAGAGGTCAGCCGAGGAGTCTTAAGAGAAATATGACAAAGAGAAAGAAATGTGATTGTATGTTTATATTAGATAGTTGTAGTGAAAAAAGACAGGATGAGAGACTAAGTTAGGAAAAACCACGGCTGCATGTTGCAGTGAAATACTTTAACCTTAGTACTGTTGAAAATGTCAAACGTACCACGCTGTCTGCATGGACATCAAACTTCGGATGTAGACTAAAGGGAACTCCATCTAGAGCTGCAGAGAGTGAAGGCAGGTTTCAGCGAGAAACAGTGATGTATCATTAATTGCGTTCCTGTGTACGAGGTGAGACCTGGAGTATATCTCACGTCACTTATAAGATTGTTCCTACATCGTCAGTCAACCCAGAAGTCGTTCCAGTCGACCAACGATGTAGGACGTTCCAAATCTCTTATATTGGCTTTGAGGACCAAGGAGTGAGGAACATAAGGATAGTGTTGGAGGAACCATGGCCGAGGATAGACAAGACCATCCTTCGCAGTAGTTTTTTTGTGAACTGACACGCCCCTTTATCAGAAATTAGATGGTGATTGGATGTTTCAGGTGAAGGATCTAAGGAAAGGATGTCTCAAGTTGTTAAAGTGCTTCCTCGAGTCCACTCCTCACGTTTTGCTTACATCTTATGTGGGTGGGACTAAGACACAAGCAAAAGATGCAAATGAGGGAAATGACGTGCTTATAGGAGACTTGGGATGTAGCCCTTATGTACCTGTAATTCCTTGGATACTGCTGTCAGCAGGTTTCTCAAAGTGGTCTATGGGGTGGAGGGAGTGGCGTCTTTGACTCACTTTACTGGGTGGCTGTGGCTGAGGAGGGTTGCTGTGGAAACAAACAAAGATGTTATTATTAAGAGTACAACACCTTCAAGATGTAAAATGCATTTGAAGGTTTTAAAATGTCAAATTTAATTTTCCAGTCTGTGCCTGTATTTATTCCAGAAGGGCCTTAACCTGTCCCCAATAAATGATGAATGGTACTAATTTTGTGAATTATTAAAATTCACTGTAGGATCTCTCCATATTAGATAATAAATAAGGAGTGTACCTGGGTCTGAGGGGCAGAAGAGCAAATGGCTGCTCCACTGAGTTTGTGCGCATATCCAAACTCAAACTGCGGGGCTTGGCTTTGGGTATGGGGCTGGAAAAATGGCCCTTTCTGCACCACAGCACGTAGCTGTTAATGTCTCTGGGGGAAAGGCAGGTTTAATGATACATTAATAACTGTATAATGAAGTACTGTAGATGCAATTAAAAGTGGTAATTCATGTCTGTATAATTACCACATTTAAGAAATTCCTTGATAAAACGGGTGTAGTGTTTGTCTGTGTAAATGCTACCAACCCCACATATGTGTAGTGCTGCAACATCATTTTGCTTTTGGCTGTCACTTTGATATCCAACACAGCTGTGTCCACACTGCCCACTGGGACTATACGCACACAAACACGTTTCTTCTTTGAAACAGTGGCCTCTGGTCACACAAACAAACACACAAAGAGAAAATGTCCATCAGGCTGCAAAGGAAATCACAGCAAGTAAATTACACACACACTCCTAAAATTTGCATCAAATATTAGGACTGTCTGAGTGTGTGTACTCACTCTGTTCAAGGTGCTCTGCTATATAGCAGTAACCATGAGGAATAGAGTCCTTGTCTGAAATAACCTGAATGTCTGACACTACCATACCACCTGTCAAGTTCTATAGAGAGAGAGAGAGAAAGATATAGTCCATGTGTGGAAGACAGCGGAGGCTAGTGCCAAAAATACAGGAAATATGTACATAATATTAAAAAACAAAATGTTCAGAACAAAAGCTTGAATTCTTTTGGGGAGACTGTGTTGAAGTCTTGAAACCATGACAAATCCTCCACCATGCTTCACTCAAGGCTGCTACACTCGTTCTTCCACCTCAGTGCAGCCTCCAACTCTTCTCCTCACATACTGTCGATGACTGAAGCTAAACATTTCAACCTTCCATTCTTCACTCCATAAGACTCTTTTCCACTGATCTGCACTCCCATCTTTGCATATCTCAGCCTTTTCTCCCTCCTGCCTCCTGAAAACATGGTTTGCTGCTGTCCTTCCACAGAGGCCGTTCCTGATCGAGCGTCTTCTGTGGAAGGATCAACTTGGCATCCAGATGAAGCTGCCAGATGCTGAGCCAGGTCCTTGATGGATTTCCTTTGGTTTCTCAAAGACGGAACTCTGAGAAACTTCTCATCAGATTCTGACAGTTCTCTTTATCTTCCACTCCTATATTTGTCCTTGACCTCTCCGGATTCTTCACATTTCTTTAGAACAGATGGTAAATGGTAAATGGACTGTATTTATATAGCGCTTTTATGCACTGGCCAAAGCGCTTTTACAGGGAGATTATACACCATTCACCCATTCACACACACATTCACACACCGATGACGACAAGGCTGCCACACAACGAACAGCTCGAATACCACATCTGGAGTATCAGTTTGTTTGCTGAGTTTGTTCTGATTTTTAAAATATACATTTTCTAGTTGTATTCTGATAAATAAATGTAAATAGTTACCATAACATTGCTAAAACAACAAATCTAACAGTGGCCTGAGACTTTAGCACAGTACTGTGTATGCTGTATCATGGTAATGCAAAAACAAGTGATACATTTATTAACAGTATACAGAGCTCCTTCTCATTAGATTCCTGTCACCTTGTTGTAACAGAGGTAATATCCAGACTTCATGGGAAAGCCGCGTGTAAAGTTTGCTGTTGCTCCATCTTCTGTGATGCTAATCTGCAGAAGAAAATAGGGATGTAACATGGCAAGCTAAGGCATGAAGGGAGAGGTCGGTGTTAGTGGGGACCTTGGACTCAAAGGGAAAGTAAAGAAGAGACATTTGCACGTTAACTTAACTATTCTCCCTCAGGCACTGCGCTTATCTGATGCACTCAATTTCATGCTGGTCAGTAAAATGACGGTGGTTGTATTCTGCAGCTCCGGAGGATGCAACTATTTATTAGGAGCTGGCTGTGCTTAATTAAAATAAATGTGCTTGGTCTAACCAAAGACACGATGATAAAAGTGCATCAGTTAAAACTGCAATAATTATTTAACAATAATAATCATTTTGTCGATGCTGTTCCAAGTCACAGAAATAAGACTTTTTACGTGTCATGGTGTGTAATTTTACTCAAATGTCCAATAAAAGGCTGCATCATGGATACAAAAACCTTGTTTTCTCCATTTTAATCTTAGAAGACCAAATGTTAGACCGTTTTCTTTGCAAAATATTGTACACGCTCTTATTACCAGTCGACCAGATCATTGTAATATCCCTTAACAACTCAGTGCAACTGCTCCCATGCTCACTGATGCAAAAGAGAGAGATCCCGCCACCCATGTTGTAGCCACTCTGGTTACCTGTGAGTGCTTTTGTTTTTTTAAAGACCTTGCTCTTTAGGTAAAGTTAGTTTTGGCTCCACAGTAGAGAGTGTGTGTTCTGCTTGTCAGTTTATTAAAGACAGGAGGGGAAGCATTTTTGTAAGTCTCACACAATTCCAACGCTCATGGTTTATTGTTACTAACAAGTGGAGCATGAAATTATTTGATTCCTATTTATTTGGTAGAAATGTAGATGATTTAATACTGTTACTCAAGTCACACTGATGTACTACTGGACAGTTGTATAAACATTTAATTTACATCTCTATTTCTTACCATGGTGAAGTCTTTGGGACAGGTGCTGGTGTTGGAGGTCCATGCCACTGATGTGATTGGCCAGACTCCCCCATGCTCCATCAGGGACATCTGGGGAAGAAAAGAGAAGAAAAACACATGTATTATAAGGAAGTTAGATGAAGAGGACAGAAACTCGGATATGTCTTTTTAATGGTGGAAACAAACATGAATGTATAAGTGAATTAAAGTGCAATTGCAGTAATGTTGTGGTCAGTCCAATGACTTTGACATTGAATAATCCCTTTATGTTTGTGCAAATGACAGTATTGTGGGAGCAGAGGTTTTCATTATCTTTTCATGTGAAAGAGTGCGCTCTCACTGGGACTTAATGACAGCAGGGGAGCCAAGTTGTTGTGACCATGTGAAAAAAAGTGGGGATACACAGAGATAAACAGGCTACAATTAAGTATAAGAAATCATGTTATCACTTAGCTACATTGTCTAGTACAGACAGATCCCATTCAGTCTAAACAGTAGCTTCATCAAGGACAGAAAGAAATTATTCAGCACAAGATTTCATCCCTGACTACAGCTGCAAAAGGAGCCGTTTATCCAGGGGACTGCTACATAGCCCTGGTTATGATATTTGCTTAATACTTAAAGGTTTTGTTGCCGAGCAACCCAATCCCGTTGAAGCTAGCTATAATATGGATAAAATCCTATATCCACTATCAAAGCATATATAATTTTAAATCACAAAGTAAGCTGTTTTCCTGTAATTTAAAAAAAAGGCATGATGTTTGGGCAAATTCAGGCTACCTGACAAAGTAGCCTTCTATCATGTAAATATCATAAAAATCCAAATGTACATCAGTAATTTACAAAGCACTGTTAAACTGTCTTTAGTAATAAGTCATAGGGGTCACTATCAGACGGTCTCCGTGTCTGAAGACAGGCTTATTGTCAACTGTGCCTTCTGGAATTTGCTATCCAGAGAAGAGATAAATGGCCTTGTCCTTTATAAAGGAATCCATAACATGAGGCAAACTCTAGTCTACCATAAGAAATTTTGCCATAATGTATACTGTCTGGTACAGTCATACTGCCACAGGAGTGGCCCTGGACATCTTTTGGTTTGCTGCCCAAAAATGAAGAGATTTCTATTGACCTTTATCATTGTTTATTTTTGCTTCATTGCGAATTGTTCCAATAATGAAAGAGTTGATATATTATTAAATAACTAGAGTACAAAAACCTGACTTAAACATAAATCTGTAAGAATGGTTGATAACTAATGAAACTCGTGAATTAAACCTGTTTAGTGTAAAATGTGAAGTAAGGAGAGATGTTTGAGAGATTTATTTATGGAGGCTATTTAGTTGGGGATACTTTCTACTTAATACCTATTATATAAACGCTATTTTGGAGCTAGGAAATGAACACCAGCCAGATACAGGTAAGTCAACCATGGATGAGTTTTCACAGTTTAACTGCTCTACCAGCAACTTTGACGTCAGCATTACCACACGTCTGTAGTTCCTAATAATTTTATGTGTATTGTAATAGCGTTATTCGTAACAGCACCCAAGTAAATCATTAATAAAGACGTTTTTGATATTCCGTATACTCACGACAAGCCGAGCTTTCAACACAATAGTAACAAGGGCTCCATTGACAAAACTTGTTCAGAATTATCTTAGAGTTAATTCCTTTTGTTTCGCGAGTCGACAAATGAAATCGTAGGATTATATTCTTACTATGTGTCGGTATTCACTTCTGTGTCTTCGAGGTGTTAAGGTTTGGCAGGAAAACAACTTTTTAGGTTGTTGTGGTTGTGGCTGAATCTTTTTTGTCTTCTTCGTCAAAAGCCTCAAAGCAGGAAGTGCTGGATCAACTTTGACTCCAACTCCTATGACACCACGGGGCAAGACGTGATGTCAACTCAAGTCTGAACGCAAGATGGCAGCCTTACAACGGGTATATTGTCCCTTTTCACAGCTGTTAATAATAACAATGATAATTTATTCTGGGCTGTTCTGTTAAAGTACTCGGATAAGAAAGGAACATTTATTCTGTCTTAGCTCGTTCACAAGGCATACAGATCAATTTTCATGTAGTTTAGTCTACATGAAAATGAGGGTGAGCAGGTCAGACCAATGTGGAGGAAAGGAGAGATGAGGAGGATAATGGAAAATAGTCTAGGTGACAAGAAGCAGGTAAGGTGGGGAGAAGTGACTGAGAGAAAAGGAGAATAAATTGTAAATGCAGGGAAGAATGAGCTACAGGAAGGATGAACTGCAGGATGCAGCGGGTTTAAAAGGACGAGAAGATCTGAGGTAAAACTGACAATGAAATAGGCCTATAAATGCACACATGCATAGTTTTGGTTTAAATGATAAGGCTATTGCAATTCTATATTTTTCTGACTAACAGCAAATCCTAGCCTTTTATGAAAGGAAACCAAATATTTGACACCCTGTCAAGGAGAGATAATCTAGAAAATCCTTAAGTGAGGCAACTTTATTCTGGTTCATGCTGCACATGAACTGTGCACTTGATTGCTGCACATGTGTGTCCCTTGTTTAGAGAACATGTGTGAATATTAAATTAGCAAAATGATTTGAAAACCCTGGTGAAAAATACCCAAACCCAGAAAAAGAAGTCCCTTTCCATATTTATTTATAATGTCCCTAATCCCCATTCTCTTAGCAGCTGCTCACACAAGCTCATTCAATTAGGAATAGGACCCTCTGACACACAATAAGATGCTCACTGACTCAGATGCTCCACTGCATCAACTTAATGCTGTATATGCAGGTGTGAAACTGAGAAAAATATACCCCAGGCTCCAGAGGTGCTCAGGTCCCTGTTGGTATGGCAACATGGAGAGCAGACCACAGGGAGGTGGTTGTGAGGGGGGATGGAGCAGGTGGACTGTTCCATGTTGATGGGTGATTTTATTGGGTGATTGGCCAATTAATGAGAATGAGCCAGCTGTACTAACCTGCTGAGACTAAAACAAGGGGGAGACCAAACATATTGTCAGTAACTGCATTTGTATGTCTTGATTGCTGCACATGTGTGTCGCTTGTTTAGAGAACATGTGTGAAAGTGGTAGCAAAGGTGAGAGGAGAGAGTGCTGCTTAAAGTGCCTTAGATTTTGTTACTTATTTATCTACTTTATATTTCTTTTGTATTTTGTGGCATTCATGTGGACGGCAAAGTAAGAATTTCATTGTACAGGGAAACACGTTTCCTAACTGTGCATATGACAAATAAACAATTTGAACTTGAACTTTGAACTTGACAACAGAACAGAACAGAACAGTTTCAGATGCTCCTGTGGTTACTGCTGTGCAGTGAGACTCATTCATCTTTTCCATAACACTGGCAGCAGACATGTTTATAGACTCATGTGCAAACAAACACATTTCTTAAAAGCACAAAGTCTCTATCATACTGAACTGAGTAGAAAAAAATACTGTGCTTGCAGATACACACAAGGATTCTGCACACTTGCAGATATTTGTACTGACTAAAAAAAATTATCTCGACTGACTTAGGCTACAGGTAATACTCATGTCAGCTGTAGTCTATTAAAAGCACAGTGTGCATGATGACAGGATGATGAGCACAGTACAGATAAAACTAAAACGAAACTGGTTCATTACAGATAACACAACAACAACAACAACACGGTTGCCATAGGGAGATTATGGCTTTTGAGGGGATTCAAATCAAAGTGCAGCAGTCCCCGGAGCCCGTGGACATAAGTGATAGAGAGCTGCATCAAGAATGCCAGAAACAGCCACTAGACCGGAATTTGCAAATCGGGGGGGCCGTTCCTCCCAATCACGCCCCTCCAGGTGTCACTGTCGCTGCCCACGTGGGCGTTGAAGTCCCCCAGTAGAACAACGGAGTCCCCAGTCGGGGCCTTTTCCAGCACCCCTCCTAGGGACTCCAAGAAGGCCGGGTACTCTACACTGCCATTCAGCCCTTAGGCACAAACGGCAGTGAGAGACCTATCCCCGACCCGAAGGTGCAGGGAAGCGACCCTCTCGTTCACCGGGGTAAACTCCAACACATGGCGGGTAAGCTGGGGAGCTATGAGCAAGCCCACACCAGCCCGC